AAATAAATCACAATGATAAATTGTAATACCTTTTACACTAGAAAGCGTATGTGTAAAAATGCACATCGATTACCTCTAATTCTGAATTTGTTGAAAACCCAACCCCCCCCCCCCCCCCCCCCCCCAATAGCACATCCGCAAAGCGAAGTCATACAGACTTCGCTCGCTTGAAATATACTCAGGGGCAGCGGAGGTTAGCAAAGGCCGTACCAAGTTGTATACAGAGTTAAAGTCAGCCGCTAAGACCAAGAAGAGACCTCATGGCCAAGGATCTTAGCATACCTAGCAGTGAATAGTCTTGATCCCGAGCCCTGTACAAACCCCTGTATGAAACGGTGAACGTAATCAAAAACGGGGAGAAGCCACTAGCTGTCGAGAGACCGAAGGGACCTTTCAACTACGATTCTACTTTTAGTCTATGAATATATATTGTAATAGTCCCCGATGGCATCAATAGTCCATTCCCCAGTTGAAGCACGACCCAAGTTGAAATCTACGCTCAGGTTGGGGTAGGGGGGATGACAATATATTTACCTCTCCCGAGTGTTGCATCGCATTGAAAGAGACGGTTATATATAACGCCCAGATCTTCGACCACGCATCTAGCTCGTACAACATAATATCGAGATTCTGGAATGCGGCATAGCTTCGTAGATCGGTCATGACTACCTCTTTGGACTTATGCTGCACCTTGTGGCTTGATGAGCACCAAGATAGGAAGAGTACCTAATCTGTTAATCAAGGAGATGTGAACTATGAATACTTGCAGCTCAGCATTTACGAATGCTGTTGCCCGTTGTTCTCATTATAATAATAATAAATTTTACAACTCGATTTTCACCAATGATGAGGTGTTTCGCTTCTGAAGCATCAGTGGTTTAGTGGTAAAATCCATCGTTGCCATCGATGGGCCCCGTGTTCGATTCACGGCTGATGCATTCTTTTTCTATCTTATACATGCGTCGGTTCCGGAGTTATCTTCAGTTTGCTGATAGTAAACCACCTAGATTCCGTTAACTGGATTTTTTTTCCTTCTCTCTCAGATGAAATGGTTGTGGTACTGGGTTTAGAGGAAGATAGGCTGGTCCGGACACTAACCGATGTCGGGCATGACTGACGGATCAATAATCGCCCTGTGAAGAAGGTGCAATGCTCCACGACACGAAACTCAATAAATCGGCCACCTGCTTCAGGATTCAGCGATCAGCCTTCCACCGGTTGCTGAAAGGAAGTTTCGTGCAACTACCAAGCACACCGTTGTAACCTTCAGTCGAGTGGAATAAGTCATCACAACGCCTTGATTATTTCAAATTTCTGCTTACATTGATTGATAAGTGATATAAACCAAGATGAAAACCGACGCAGGCGTAAACTTAAAGAATACATGTAACAACTACTAATTAATTATGTTCGGGCATTCTCATTCGGTGACGGAGTGGACATCTATTTGCTTATTTTGGGTAATTTGATCGACAGTGCTGCCTGTCATAACCAAGACAGACAGGCTGTTCAGGTGTGCGTGGTTATAAGATGGGACATGCTCGATGCTGTGATCTGGTGGGATCAATGTGGCTTCTATCGTGCCGGTTTCATTCCGCAGTTTCGGTGTCAAAAACAAGCCAGTTAGCTCAGTATTTCGGCGATGCGAATTGATATAATTGCTTGGGAGCAGCCGTTGTCGTATCCTATCAGACGAACTACTATATCTGCCAGATTACCATACCAGTGTTTCTGAAACGACGAAGTCAAAGACCGGGTAGCACTGAGGTGGCACTGAGATGATCACCGCACGGCATCAGGGGAGCACAGGGATGCAGAAGTTCTTGTACAGCTAAGCAAGCCACGGGGGTCGTGCTGTTGGGCGATGAGTGAATCTCACGTACATCCTAGATCTAGCTTCCAATAGATGACATGATATCTCACATTACAAACCCCCAAAGGCTGTTGGTGCATTAGTGCAGAACCTACCATGAGAGCAAAATGCAGGTAGCTGATGCGATTGGCAGGACGGCATTAACGTGGCGCGGCAGAGGTTTATACACTACCTGGGGTATTATGACAGGACCGGTTCTTGTTGCATATTTCTTACTCGAATACTTGCCCACCTTTCGAAATTAATTATCCGATGCGGTCTGGTACCTCAACCACACACGACAGACGCATCACGAACTGATGGCTCTTGTACCAAATTGCCTAATCGGGTGATTTGGACAGCTATAATAGGCACCAATGTGTTCTTGGGGTGCTCCACAATGTCTTTGCGCCTAGAAATACTTGAATGACTTGGGTATAAACTGTTGGCACATACTAATAACTTCAGATAAGACTTCGTATAGACCAAGCCTAGTAGTTAGTCGGCGCGGGGTCTGTCTGGTTGTCCGGGGACGACTCTGCATCTAAGTAGGTAAGCATATATATGTATGTACATACGTATATACGTCTGTATACCTCTCTCGACGTACCGTGTTGAAACCAACTATGATGACCAGATAACATCGACGGCTGAGACATATATCTCGGTAACTGCTCGTTTGAATTTGCAATGACGTGCTGTTGGTGCCAGATAATATTACATGGCGGACAGAAGTTGGCCATACCAAGCATATTGTGAGCATGGTAGAATAGGATCAATTTACCAGCCAGACCCTCTCGTGTAGGTCTTTGCAGCAGCGGCACGGACACTACTATGTAGTGCTATACAAAAAAGGCGAGGCGAGTAGGTTCTTAGGTTGTGAACAACGGCGCCCCATCAAGCGTTTATTATTTGTAGCGCTGAGAATCGAGTTCTAACAACAGTACTCCCGCGACTCAGGTGGATGGTTGATCAGCTTTCCAACTAGCTCCTTCTTCACCACTGTGGCTTCTACATATGTGTGGAATTCTTCCAATGGGAAGTCTGTAAATGCCGGGGATGAGTTGATCGAGACTAGTTTGGGAGGACATGATATGCCTGGACTTGGGGGGCCTAAGGTCTGTCTAGGGTATGCTCCATCTCCTAGCACCCGCAGAAAAACCGTTGTAATAGCATCAAGCCAGTTTTCTCCAATCGCGGCTATGAGAACACGCCGACATGTTTCTCTTCGATCGCATCATGTTTTCGAACACGTGAAGCAACCGGATGGGCAAGGACGAAGGAGGCGGGGCAACAATGTTGGAAAAGGACTTTTTCACGATGCAAGCCGACTTTCTCACTCAGGCGGCCCGACTCGACCATTTCGGGACATTCTTGCGAGTGGGCCAATTGCACGCCTATCACTGTCTGCGCTGGCTACAAGGAATAGAGCTATTCCTATCCCCGACTACGTCGCCATCCCAGGGTCTTCTGCATTTCCGTGTCGTGTAATTTGCATACGCATGGATCTGTTTGATAAGTATTCTAACGGTCTGGTCAGTCGCTTCCTCCCGCTCCTTTGGTCGTGATGCAGGTTCGACATGGGTGAGTATTCAGTAGCTCATTAGTGGTTGGTAGATTGACAAACCAACCTATCGCTATTTAGAAATGACTTCTTAAGCAAGCTTTGCTGTCTTCGCCGAAACTCGGCTCTATTCTGTATCTACTGTTGACGTGTATAGAGCTGAATCCTCGCCTGCCCATACTGCTAACGTCAGGTATCTCAGGATACTCGTTCATCTCAACATTTGCCAATGGCCGTGCAATGCCTCAAATAGTATCTAACTGGCCCGTCTGGCGCAAACCTCGCCTACATACATAGGTAGTAGGTAGATCTTACATGGGCACGAGTTCGGTACTTTGCCTAAAAACGGCCTAGCTGAGCTGTCAACGGGGGTCAAACGGTTACAGTAGTATTCGCCTCGCCTTCGACCCAGACCCTGGCTCCCGTCCCCATTGTCTCAACTTTGAACCTCACCAGCTATTAACGGTCAGGGCCCAGAAGGCGTCATGTCCTGGTTCGATCTCCCGCCATGGGACGGGCGCAGTGGTTTCCCCGTTTGTCGAAACGGCGCGGTCACCGACCCCATCCTAGTGATAAATAGTCGCTAGTAGCTTTTGCCCAAATATTATTCTGCAGCATGTGTGATACGAGCAACCGCTTCCCATCCTCCCATCACTTGTTCTCTCCGTGAGCCGTAAGGACTCAGATAATGGTAATAGCCGATGGCGACACCTGCAGCCAGCCACCAGTCTCATCAGAGATGGTCTCTCGACAACCTCAGCACGGAGCTTCTCATTCTAATCTTCAAACAGGTAGATGCATTTCGAGATGGTGAACGTGGAATGAGAAAGATATAGCTAATATTGCCTCTTCAGTTAGGAGATGCTGACTTGAGGTCGCTGAGCGCTGTACGACTGGTTTCAACACGATTCAAGACCGTTGCTACACCTATGAAATACCACACACTCCATCTAACACGGTATATCGTAGCTCCTCAAGCAGAAATTCAATGTCCCGAAGGCGTCTCCAATGTCTGTGCCCATACAAGACACGTAAAAGTTAAGAGTGATCTCAATGCCGAGCATGTCAAAAGCTTTTTGGATAAAATGAAGAGATTATCATCTGTAAGGTAATTGCTAAGATATCCTTACCGGAAGCTATCCATTGATCACGTAGCTGAAGAGAGACCCTGGAACAGCTGGCGCTATGTGCGAGATGATCTACACAAAGGGGATTTCTGGGTACCCACAGACATTCTCCCTCCGCATTACACCCAATCTAGCAATTTCAAGTTGTGTATTGAGGATTTACCGTTACGAGATTTTCGAGCCGAAAAGGGCAATCCATATTTGAAGGCAATCCCGACCGGCGTCCTCGTGTCTCTCAAGACGGCCACGCCGACCCCTCCGCTTACTGCTCGTGTTGAGAGCTTGAAAGGTCTGCTTGTTAACTCGCCACGGCTAGAGACGTTTTGGTACGACGATAGGGGCCAGGGGACTCGGTTTGAACTGCGTGGAAACGAACGCCTGCCGCCATTACGGGACCTCTCTCTGCGTTCCTACGATTGGAACCACGGCCCTAATACCGTCCGGCGGCATTGGGACTTCTCCGAGATCCGACATCTTGAGTTAGTCGACGTGCCTTTGGGGCCGTTCCTCAACTCGGTGTTGTTCACAGACTTTCGGCATTTGAAAACACTGCGTCTAGATGATTCTAGTATGCATCTGCCTAATAGACCACGAGATACGACCCGAGGCCAATACGCCTTGATTAAACAGATCAAAGCGCTCGATGATTTACAGACAATATGCGACATAGAGTCATTCCCTATTGATGGGATATTACAACATGCGAAAAACCTGCAGAGTCTCCGATTTCGCGACTATACGGGGTTTTCTGACGAAGACCGTCATTGTCCAACACTTGACCTCAACAATCTAATAACCATGTCACAGACATTGAATAATCTCCATACCCTTGAGATCGATATGGACTCGAAGCGCTGCGAGCTGCAGCAGGACTTTTTGTTGGCGCTGTGTAATTTTCGCCGACTCGGCACCCTCACGCTCCATACACAAACAGTCGTGAATCCCTTCAAGCATGCTAAGACGAGCAACGACTTGGACCACGAAAAGGCGATGCAGATATTCTCTTTCCTTCACAGCAAAAAGTCCACACCGTGGCGCTCCATCACCATCATTATTGGAGACTGGAAGCCGATTATGGTGCGTCGCTTATCTGCTCGTTGGCGCGAGCTAGGTAGCCGCGGCGTCCACGCCGAGAGGTGCTTCGTAATGGAAAAGAAGCAAGATGACAGCCTTGCTGTTTACGAGAAATCGCCGATACGGGTGTCTTGAGTCGTCGCGATGCTAGGCTGGATGACACCTAGTTACCAGCATGAAATCGCGCGTTGAGGCGATACTGAGAGAACTATATCGGTGCGATAGGATAAGGAAATAAGCAGCGGATCGCGCCCCTGAAACCTGGAGTATTACCTGCGTCGGTGTTAGGGGTAGGTATTTACCGTTGCACAGTGGAGGGTCGATTCTATTCTTAGATACTAGAATGAAGGGGTAATGAGATAATACAGAAGGCATTCATGGCAAGAGGAATAACTCCAAGCCTCAAAATCGATTGGGTGGTGTAAAGGAGAAAACAGTGAAGACGTCGTTAATCGTCCGTCAAGATTAATGTCATGTATACCGCGTCACAAGATGGTTATCAGGCAATCGACTGCCATGTTTGTCCGATTCGACAGTCAGAATAAAGTCAACGGCAGCATCGAGTAAGAACCTCAGCTCAGCATCATTGCCTCCCTAAGTGCGGGGTGAATCCAAGCAGTAACCCTAGTCGAGGAACCCATAACCTATATATACTATAATATAGAGGTAGTTTTGGTGGTGCGTGTCCCTACCATTGGTCTGTTACCTTTTTTGTCTGGTGATCTTGAGTCCTCTTCCATGCTGGCTGGTGTTTCCCGCACATTCTAGCGAGTCTGACATATTGAAGTAGATAACTACAAATGTTGATCTAAGGCACCCACGCCGAAAGAAATGGATCAAGTCTACACTTCAATAGGCATTCAAAGATAGCTTCGATCGCAGGGGGATAAGTTGATGATAAGATCACGAACGCAATGTATTCACCGAAAAGTATGATACGTGCTACGCGCTGAATTCCGTGAAGCCATAACCATAGCCATAAGTCTTTTGATTTCACAAGATAGTCCCGAAACTTCTTAAATCCCTTGCTGACTGACCAATCACTTTACACTACTTCAATATAACAGAAAATACCCTCCTTCTTAGTAGTTCGGTCGTGTGGGCCTCGAGAAGGTATAGCAGCTAGCTTAAAACTCAGGCTGATTCCGCAATGCTCCCAAAAGCATCATAGAATGACCACCCTGCAGGTAACATGCAACATGCAGGTACTAAGCTTGTAACATAACTTAAATGACTACCTACGTCTTCAATATGCCAGCAAGTCAAAATTTGGTCTCCGGGATTCTGGCATCGTCTTATTTCGACTCCTGAGGCTACCAGTAACTAGTATGATAAGAAGAATACTAACATATGTCAAATGAGATACAACTAATGTAGAGGGCTATGTACAGACAATGGTTACCAGCCACCTTTGATCGACGAAAACCGAATCTTTTCATTCACTGTGAAACTCCATTCAGCACCACCTTGGATATGCGCCCTCCTTGCCATATTCCAACGACTATTTGATCGGATACATAAGACGGGATTATCAATATCGAATATCAGAGATTTATCATATAACAATCAACCTATAGATGCTGACACGCACAGTATCAACCGTCAATCTGATCTTCCAGAAGCTTCCGTTGAACACGACAGTGTCTCCTCATTAGAACCGATGAAACAATACGAAGCTTGTGATAACCCCCTCTGGACATATAGGCCGTGGCGAAGAAGAGTAGCAATCCAAACACTCGGCCCAACAGGATTGTCAGTAGGATGGTTCTAAATAAGCCTGCCGAGGAGCTATTCCAAGTATATATCTAAATGTTTATTATCTCAAGATCACATGAAGTAAACTGCTTATTGCTTCAATATAACCGGGTTTTCCGAAATATAACTTTGGTACGTGGCAATGTCACGGTCCTAGAGTTACGAACAAGGAGACTTACTTGTGTACAATCCTAGCCTAGCTACGAAGCCTTCAAAGCCTTCATGCAACGACGATTGTCATACAGTAGTACCCTTATGGTTGCAATCTTGACAGGCACTCGAGTATCAAGAGGATCTCCATCAAACACCTGTAAGCTTAGATATATCTATATAATATGCAGTGTCATTTTCATCTCCTTTTTTCGATATTCCGGTCCGGATTCGGTTCCAAGCTGACAGGGTGTCTAGACATAAACGTTCTTAAGCATATCGTCTCCAGTGCTACCCTGAGTGGTTCTCGTGAATAATATAAAGGAATATAAGGCCAACGGTATGCTTCAATTGTTGCGCGAAGACATTAACGGCTCCATCGGTGATAATTACGCACAGCCTAGGCCGCGTGGCTAATAATTGCAGAGCCGCGTCCGCCGCAACTTCGCACAGCACATATATTTGGCTGCATTTGACTGCTTCCCATACGCCGCCAGTCTATGTGGCGCCGCGCGTCGTACGAGCAACATGGTATGGCTTCGTCCACGATGGAGGCATGTGATTCTCGTAACACTCGAGCGAGTATGTTACTTGCTAATAAAACTATACAGACGATGGTCGCAATAGCCATGTAGCTGTGAGTGACTTCTAGTCCGAGTATTGGTGACTTCCATGCAGTTGGCGAGGCTGCTAGTATGGGAGTTCTGCAAGATATCCATTGAGCAAGGCTGATCGAATATCTCCTCACCCCAGCTAGGATTATACACAGGGAAGAACCCCGAAGAGTGTCTAGTCACTACATGAGAGTAGTATCATTTCGTGTCGAAGTATCACTTATGTAGTATGTTGGAAACTGGGCCTCGACACCTTATGAGTGAGTGCGGGCTGTATAGGGTGCAAGGTTAAGGCGATGTTGATTTGAGAACTCTTTTCGTATGCCTGCACTCCTACGCAGAAGCTGGTTAGCCTGATCAAGGCAGATACGAAAACTAGAGGGCTAACGTCCTATATGCGGATATAGCCTTCTATCCGGCACCTAAACGATGTCGGGCCTCATACAGTCATGCCTTGGCGGATCGAGATGTTGCATGGTTCTTATATGATTGTTCGGGTGGTTGTACGCATATCCATTCGGAGTGTTCGAGAAATTGTTAAGCGACGGTTTACAAAGCCCAAATGTATATTATGCATTTATCTGATGCATTGAAGATTTTCTCAGGCTATGTTGCTTACATCGTCGCTCAGCTGGTTTTGCACTTCCCAGCCAGTTACCTATTATATGAGCTTCCTAATGTACATGACCTTACCTAAGACCACCCAGGTAGATAGAATACCCCTAGTGTGGTAGTGTTACTTGTCGGACTTCCCCATCATCATATGCAGAAGCAGAGTTGAGTAAGGGTTGCATACAAACTCTAATTCACCTGCAGCACTGTATGTTCTACACTTATCCATCTGCTGGTCTGAGGCTTGCCTTCTAGCTATATCAAGACTTGGCTTATTATGGTAGTGTCTATCTGAGTAAGCCGTGTTTTGCTAAATAGCTTAACATTCGGAGGCATATCCATCCTGCCCGTCTGACCAATTCCACACTGAGTAGAGGTTAGACGTCACACCGAGGTCTGTGCCAGAGATGGGTTGTGCCTGAACGGCCAAATATAAGTGATGAACTTTGCAACGAGGCATGGCTATTTCTATACCAAATTGTAGCGTGCCGTAGTGTATAACATACTAAATTTCTGAGCCACAAAAGGATCCATGTGTCTTGTCAGATCCCCTGTTTGTTTTCTTTTCCTTCGATGAGTCAGTCTAATGTCCTAGATAAGCGGTGAGGGTAAAGTTCCTTAGACCTACATGTAATTATAGGCCACCATCTAGGCATTTTAGATTAGGCATGTCGCTGGACGCCACGACAACTTCTAGGCATTCCTCACAACGACTCACGGACGCGCCTCGTCCCGAGCCAGTTCAGGAATCAAGCAAGGGATAGATAAGTAAAAACCAGGCTCTTGCTCCAAAACGTGCTACGCGTCATATGATTACGACTATTTGCAGGTCTGTCCCGATCTCGAGAAGAAGCTACAAAGGGGAGGATGCAAGTATCTACGTAGTGCAACTTGGGCAACATTCATGATCTTAAGAAACTATAAAAAAACTTAAAATTTGAAACACTGTGATTAGAGTTAGGTTTGAATGCTTCACGGCATCACTTACATGTATCAACGGCCCGGTGTATCCCACCCGCAGACACGATACTTAGCAAAATCTTAATTCTCCCTTACATCATGTCATTGCTACGCCGGTAAGTGGGGGAAGTTAGGGATCAAGGCAGAATCCACTTTTGATCGGACATACTTATGAGCTCGCCAGAACTTGTTTCCTGTGGCGTTTCTATGCCAACACCTACAGCGTCGCTAGAGTACAACAAAGCGGAATTGCGTCATGGAACAGTTCCATCCTCATACCGTGAACATCCTACTCGAGACTTATGTGACGACTAGGAGGCTCTAACAGCTTAATTTCTCTGTACAGCCCGAGCCTCAGCATCAAGCCTGCGTGAAACATCAAAAATCATATAGAAATATACCGTAATGCAGTCTCTACACCTAATGAGCCCTAGATAAACATAAGTAATCAACTCGATGATATACACAACTAACACGGATGTTAAAATTTTCTACATTCTACCAGCCCGTCTCAAAACCACGGGTTGATCCTAAGCAGAGACCGAGCTGAAAGGACCCAGAAAGTTGTGATCCATCGGGACACATGACTTCCAACAATGGGATCTCTACAAACTAACAGGAACGAAAACGAGAAAATACGTAGTCTACTGCAGGCCAACCAAGAGCCCGGTACATGTAACCACCCGAACTAATGTATCTAAATCTCCTTAGTCAAATTACGGGAAACATTGACCGGTCGAAGGTCTCGGGTACATTCCGTCTTCTACAAAGATTAGTCCAGCGGACAGTCGACTAGTTTTGATCGACCCGAGTCAGTGGGCAGGCCTCCTCACCTGCTATCACTAGTAACGCCCTCCCTTCCAACCAACTTAGGGTCGTGCCGGTGCGAGCACGAGGGGGAAAGGGGGGGAGGAAGAGTAATAGACCCAAAGTCTAGAATGTGGATAATATTCGAACCAAGGTTTCGTATTTGATCGATCGCGTTCGTACGGTGCGGCACGGTACGGTACGGTTCGTAGCGCCCATCCATTGTGTAGGAATTCGATCTATTCACTGTGTAAGATAAATCAAAGCACCCATGTGGAGGGAGGGAGGGGAGAGAACGGGGCGGAGAGGGGGCTGGCTAGCAAACATGAATCGTCAAACATGGACCAGTTCGCCAGTTACACTGAATTTACCAAATCCTTAACAAATTAGCCAAACCTCCTTTGTAGGAGTATAAATATTTGTATTGGAAATAGCATTGAGGCTCTATTCTGGAGTAAATGAGCGCAAGCCTATACAGTATGCATGAGAGAGAGGCCAAAAAAAGGGGGGGAGGACATAATTTGCGTCGAGCTTATACCAGACACGAAAAATTCCACACCCCGCCGAAAACAACAGCTACACGCTACCTATAGGCTATCGGACGTTATTTAGCAGAAAATCCCGTGCAAAAAAAAAAAAAAAAAAAAAAAAAAAAAGGAAAAAAGCAAAGAACACGCCAATGGGGATGGAGGGTGTGTGGGAGCTATGTAGTAGGCTAGGACTAGACCATTCTTTTCTTTCGAACCCTACATGACAAGGACTGAATCACGAGTAAATCAACTGCAGGCAGTGATGTTAGCTTAGTCTTATGGGGGGTGGCAGGCAGTAAGACGGATGGATGGATGGGCAGGCAGGGGGGGCGAGGAAGGGAAGGGAGGGCGAGATACGGAGGGCCAATTTTTATTGGATGGGTGGTCTGGTGAAGTTCACCTCGACGGTTGGCGTATACTGTGTATGTACATAGTAGCAATGGTATTGATCTATTATTTATTGGGTTGTCTTATTGGACTGTCGACAAATCTCGGTCACAGCGCATATGATGACTACCAGGCGGATTATATTTAAAAAGTAAAAATAAAACAGCTACAGAAGAACGTAAAGCGGCGCTTACTGCCTTGATTTTGACCCGACCCGAGCAGGAAATAATCCCATCCCCCCTTTAACTCAGAAAATGTGAGATTCCAAGAAAAGGTTGGTAGGTCTTCGTAGTCTAGAATGCGGATCAGAAGATAATCAATAAACGTCCGGCATGCTCCCGCAGTTATGGAAAGCATATTTGTCGTTCGTGCGGAATCTACCCGATCCGAGACGTCGGGTTAATGCTAACAGGGTAGGGATTTAACATTCCTCAATACATGTATTGGTATGATATGGCCTTCGAATTATGCGGGCTTTGGTGCAGAAATTAGCACTCGAACAACCTGAATAGATTTGCCGTTCCACGACTGAATGTCACTAGTGAATTGAATCGAACATATGTTTAACATAAAATCAATTACTTTGCAAATTATATTGCAATATCTATAAGGTATCAATGGTTATTTATGTCAAAATGAGTAAGGTCGTGGAGACAAAGGAAAAAAAAGAGATGCTGCCCCTGAATCCTCTTCTTCGCATCTCTGTTCAGTCGCCTGTGTTTTTCTTCCCTCGTGTGCATGAGACTTGACCAATGAATAGTACCGATTCGAAATCCCCATGGACCTCAATAACGCCATCATGAGCCATAAATTTGAATTTAGCAGGAAAAATTAAGCAGTTGTCGTTCATTTTGCCGTGAGGCAGGTCAATCTTTTCCCCATCCTATCCACGATCGCCACCCTGCCGGGAAAATTAAAGAAACATTTAGAAATGAATAATCCGCCCGGAAGTTATCGTGGGCGTTGTGACCGAGATTTATCAACAACCCAATAATTCAACACCATCGCTAATATAAGTATAACCCAAGCCCGTCGTGTGGCTGGCCAAAGTTCCTGCCGTCTTTTGTTCCAAACTGGTCTCGTTTTGCTTTTCGTTGCTATGCTTCGAAGTTATCGCTCACGGATATTCCCTAGACCACTTTCGCTTGACCTTGAAGCCTCTTGACCTCTGCGAATGGAACGTAGCTAGCATGAATCCGTGCTGCAGCCAGATGGCCTGCAAACTGGCTGAAGATCAATTGATTATTTCCCCGGGAAAAGTGGTATCCACTCCTGGTTCCTATTAGAGTATGCTGAGAAGTGTAAAACCAATCACTTCGCACCACGATTTAATCGACCGAGCATGCCTTTGTCGATCTCGCTTCCTGAAGAATTTGAACTCATGATGTTTTCCAGATTCATAACCGATCTGCCTGGGGCACTGCTACCCGTAGCACCGGATGGGCTGCTCTTGGGTGGAGGCGTTCTATTTTCGAAACCCTGATGTGGAATCGGCTGAGGTTTGGTCACCTGGAAAGGCTGCAAGTGATTGGGACTGCTGCTGGAAGGAGATCGCCGCCGAGAGTTGTCGTCGGGGAACGTGCTAGGGGGTGGAAGGCGGACCCCGTGTTCGTCAGACATCCTGTGACGCCTCCTGCTATTTTCTGGCCTGTCCTCCCAATAAGAACTATTTGACCCGGTAGGAGATGGAAGCGGCTGCTCGTAATGCGGTGTGTTGGCTTGATAGCTTGTCCCAACGGGATAGTTAGCTGGCCCTGCTCCCAAAGGTTGGCCATATGCTCCAAATAACTGCGTACCCGGTGGAACGCCATTTGTCAATGCGGACACAGGTACAAACGCGGTAGATGAAGTGGATGAAACAGGTTGAAAAACACATTCCTGGTTCATTTTGATGCAATTAGTACACTTCCCTCCCGGCGAGTTGGCGTAGCCGCTGCAGCGTATCTAGAATCGCGTTAGTAATCCCGTTCCTTTACGTAGATTTGAGGCCCCTGTCATGATGACGGCTGTGAATCCCCACCTTTCTCCTTCTGCAGTACTTGCATGCGATAGAAGTCCGCTGCCTAGGCGCAGACTGCCCATGGGAGATAACGGCACCGACTGGTGGGCCGCCTCTTGCATATTCCGGTGTATAGGGGACAGGCGGGCCGCGGTCTGGATGATAGCCGTATTCGTGAGCGTTCGGCCCCCCACTGAACGGCACAAAATTCTGAGAGTAATAAGGCGGCGCACGTGTCTCTGGCTGGTAGCTAGTCCTGGGGTCTTGATGCGCTTGGACTGGTGGCAGAGAGTAGGGTTGGTGGGAAGCACCTGGAACAGGATAAGGGTTTCTACCACCCGCAGGCGAGTATACGCCAGGACCGGCGGGCACGCCACCGGGAGGGGGCGGATAGCCGTTGGTAGCGCTCGGCGATGGGCCGTAGACGGAGGTCCTTGGATCTCTTGGATCCCAATTGGTCGGCGCGTACATTTCTCGGTCTTGAGGAGGCGACTGAATTGCTGGCAGGGTCACTGTGCCAGAAGAAGCCATTTGTGGTCGAGCGTGATGTGGAAACGCCCTGGAGTGTTGGTCTTGGCCACCAGGCCTTGGTGGATATGGAGAGTCGTCGTGATGGTCGTGTCTAGGTAGATGTCCCCTGTTCCGATGGTCTCCAGCCATACTACACCAAAGGACACAACCGAAGCGCCAGTTCGCGGTCTGCGGGCGACGAACCGAACAGGCTAGGGTCCTGTAGGATGGCGAGGCCTAGTGCGGCGTATGGAGATTACAAGACTCAGAGCGGATATACCACGGCCCTTTTTCCCCGTGGCAAATACAACCTTTTTTTTCCAACAAAATCCAGCCGTAGCCGACAACCATGACGAGGACCAGAATACCAAGGGTTACAGGCTGACACTAGATTATAGACGACGTGAGATAATCCCTCGAGTTTATCTCTGGCCGGTAGTTGATCTCCCTCTATACTTCCACTTTAACAACTTCAGCAACTTCAACAATATATATTGAGAAGTTGCGCAAGACCGGTTCGATATGTAGGGATGCGGTTATGCGAGAAGGCAAGAAGGAGTGCCCGAACATGACCAAGGCCCTTTGGTGGGATTCGAATAGGGCACCAGGTCGGTGGCTCGAGGTGAAAAATAAGGAGAGGAAGGTGTGAAGGAATCAAGACACCAATGAAGAGAGACCTCGGGAGAGAGACCTCGAGAGAGAGAAGGAGAGGGAAAGTGGAAAGTTACAAAAAATGGATGGAAGCGGTAATAGAGAAATAAGTAGTAGTAGTGGTAGTAGTAGTTAGTAGCAGTGGTAGGAGTACTTAACTACTTCTTACATAGGTACTTATCCAGGCACTTACCCAGGCACTTACCCAACTACCTACATCCCTACCTGCTACCCGGTCCACCAGGCAATGTAAGGCCGTCAGAGTCGAGCATACTCCAGGCTTGCCTAGTGGCGAGTGGTTAAGGTAAGGTACAAATGACTAACCTTGTACATACCTGGGCATGTAGGTATCAGGCGTGTGGTGAGCGGACGAGGAGCGAGCTCAGGCTCGCTGCCATCAGGCCCGAGTCGTTGCTTTGCAGAATTGCCTGTAGGGGTGGAGTACATATACGTGTAGGCGGGGCTTACCGTGTCCTGGTGGATGGAAGGGGCATGGTTGATGGGTCATCCTTGGCAGACAGGTTAGCACACCTAAGTACATACTCTAGTACACTGGGTAGTGGGTATAGTGGGTACAGGAGGTACAGTCTAGGTACAGTCCTGCAGTCCTGACTCTGCGTCAGCCCTGGCGAGCCGGGTACTTATCTGTAGGTACCTAGGTTATGGGTTGTAACTGGGTAACATGCTGCCTACATAGGTACCTACTTGAAACCACCTCGGTACCTACCTACATAGGTAGGTAGTGGACACTCAAGTAAGTACCTACCTAGGTATGTAGGCTATACTTACCAACTAAGTAATGCATACAGGTATAATGGGCTCAGCGCCTCGGCGCCAGCACTACATAGTACACACCTATAGGCTATGTAGCTACATGTACCTACTCACCCAAGCAGGCACCTAAATACTACAGGCTGTTAAGCCATCAGGTACTCATGTGCTCCAAAGTACCTCCTATAAAATACATCTACATAGGTAGGTAGGTAGTAGCTAGGTATTGCTTGGAGGCGCCCCGCCCCCTGCTGTTACTGGAGAACAGCCCTGGCACGCTCTAGTCCGGGAAGGATGGCTCGAGTGACGAAGGCAGAGAGGCGCCTCGTGCGCGTGTACCGCGTAATACCCTTGGGAAATCCCCGTGGCGCCAGCAAAGGAGCGCTTGACTACTAAGTACAATATTTCACCTAGGACGAGGGCGGGCGGGATCATCCTTGGTATCTCACCTTGGTAATCTTACCGTGATCCTTAAGACCGTTTGACCATATATGGACAGCCCAATGGCTGTTGGGACGCATCTGAGATGAAATACTATCAGACGTTAACATCCGATCCGGATGAAGATGTGGCAATCCCTCTGAGCTGTTCAGAGGCTAGGCTAGCTGCGCGCGTTGGTTCATCCCAACCCGATGACCGTTCCATTGTTTACTTTTGTGCCATGGTATACTACCTACTATGTGTAGAACAACGCTAAGTACGCAGCAAGCGCAGCGCTCTCGGAATAGAAGCCCGCAGGAAGGAAAGAGGCGTTTACACCGCTCATATTCTATTTTCCTGGCTGCACCAACATACACACCCCAAAGATTCAGGTCTCTGTCGATTGCAGAAAGAAACCAATGACGTGGTGTAGATACGGAGAGCAGACGGTCAACTTCCTGCATTGTTTTAAGACATCTAGTGGCCCGGGAGAAAAGTACCCCGGAAAAGAGAGACATTGGAACGAGGCCCGGGCCGGTTCTCTCGGGGACACGATACTAACCGAGTTAGCCGGCGGGTGCTTACAACACATCGAACTGGGAGCAGAGTGTATGGATAAAGTGCCAGTAAAACAAGTGCAAACGGATTTAGTGGCGACAGTACCAACGATGTTACAAACGTCGGTACTAAAGAGAGGAATGGAATGTGAGAAAAGTGCCTCAACTAGGTCGCGAGGCTGAGCAAATATGTCCCAAAGAAGACCCATTACCCAACCGTAGTGTCATGGCTCGAGATTGGGATCAACTAGGTGCAAGGTGACGGCCGGCCCGACGCCCACCGTGACGCAAGGTACATCATGGCTGCTAGGGCTTCCTTAGTACTATTACATGTAACTTGATGTAAGTGTCTCGAGGTCTAGACAAGCGGGGTGTTGTGGAAACCCGAACCGACTAAAGCCAAACCGATGCCACCAGTATGATTACATGTACACTACATATCCAAAGAGCAAGTGTTGCCGTATTGAGAGCACTAACTTAGATGGGTCGTAGCGAAGTTTTCGACAGCCAAACTGCGCTTAGATGCAGCATGGTACTTGGTAGCGCCGGTCTGTAAGCTCATCGTTCAACCAGCTACGCTATTGCTGCTTGCGCCATCATAACTACATGTACATTTTAGATTAAGCGATACCTACTGAGGCATCGTCTACTTCTCCATCTTACAATAGATACATGTTGAGCTACTTATCCTGGGAGGGTTGGTACATGGGAGGTTAAGTGTATCTGTCTGTCTACACGTACATGAAATGACGTCTCGACACAATCCATTTTCTCGCACACTATCAGCATCTATGCTGTTTCCATTACTTAACTCGCCTCACTGAAAAGTATTTTTATAACGTTACCCATTCGTCACATGTCTAACAATACAGTTTAGTCTTGAGCGATCGCCGCCATTCTTTATCACATAGATGACGTTACCAAGGGATAGCTGAACGGTTCAGCGGCGTTGCAGAAACATAGGTTTGAGATAGAAGTAAGAGCTTTTTGGCTCAATTCTGTGGAATGCGAAGAACGAATCTCACAAGATACAAAGATCCCAATGCATAGAACGTTATCCGAATTGCTATTTTCCCGACAATATAAAACAACGTACACTATGTTGGCAACTCTACTCCAGTATCTCAACTGGGTGACCTGGCAAAAGTTCCCAACAGGCTATGACTTGGGTTGCCGTCATACTGTACCTCAATTAAAAGCGCCTATATGATATTAGGTAAAGTGGATGGTAATTGGTCTAACGAACAGTTTATTGTTACCGATGTGAGGCCTAGATCGAAGCAACCAGATTACCACTGAATTGGTAAGCTGCATTAGAAAGAAATAACTTATCCTCCTAGTAAAACGCCTCCTTCAACCCCTGTCAAGTCTAGAACTCTTCTGCTATTGAAATCTTCTACAGATGGTTGCACAGGACTGTAGTGGCATCGTAGGCAGTTTGTGATGCTACCGTCTACATGTGTTGAACGGTAAGGGAGGCCCATAAGAAGGTAACTATTGGTTCTTGTCAATTGTCGGATGTTATGCCCATAAAAGATATCCATCGATCCGAACTGCTCTGTTCATCCCTTCACCCAGGAGCTTAAGCAAACCATATAAGGAGCCGAGTTTACCCTATCCGGCCCTATATACATGCTAGTATGTGCATACCGACAGGGCAGAGCACCCGCGTTGGTACCCAATAACCACGATTCTGACCCCAACGTTGGCAGCACTACGATCTCAGTATCCTACCTACCTATACCAGGTAGCGTGTGCTGTAAGACAAGCTGCCGCGGATCGCGGCGGTCCGTGGGATGATATACTACCCAAAACTGCAAAAGACCCATGAGCTCTGTAGAGCTGCCTTCATCCTCCACAGGCAGTTTCTCTTTCCTCCTCTCTGCAGCTGTTGTCTTACCATGCTAAGACCTTCGGGCCCCAGCGCGGTGCACGATAGCAAGGGACTGGAAGAAGCTATGTCGATGTTGGGGCGGCATGCATACACCCTGCATTATCCCATGCAACTGAACGCTTTCGTCCCAACAGTTGCTCATCTTGTAACCGTGACGAGATGCGAGGCAGTGCATGATCATCGAAATCTGCCATGCTGTTGTGCCTAGTCTTTTGACCTAGGCCCCCCTTGGCGCGCTACGCTCACCAGCACACCGAATGAATGGCCTTGTATCTGCTTACGCTACGCTACAATGTAGGTAGTGTACGCTCCAGCAGAGTACTGGATCATCAAGGAATGGATCGAAGATTGGGGCAACTATCTCATAATTACAAAGCAATCTAACTTCATACCTCATAGTAACGCGGACCTACTGCATCTCGCGAGCTTGGATTTGGTCTAAGGGCACGCAACGACCCTCAGCCATCTGTCAATGGCAAAGAATAGGTATGCCTTGCTTCTCTCGACGCTTCTTTGACTGCGGTTTCTGGTTATGAAGCCAACACAGAGGCTGTAAATTATTGTTTCAACTGTGCAATTTGATCCGCTCTTGTTGGCTCAAGGTGTTTCATTGTTTACCCTTTTCTATCATCAATTCCGCAGCATCTGCGCCCAGTTAGTGTAATAGTCCTCTCCCTGTCAACCCTCTTGTCAGTTTATTTATATGTGGCTTGTTAATTGTCCGAGCATCAGATAGGATTAATTTTACACATACACAACAGGATGAAAATATCCCCCACCGGACCATATCTTGTAAATCACGCTACAGGCGTTACACTGGTGTTCGATGCGATGTAACGCATGCGCCGCTATGGAACTCTCTTCGATTAAATGTGCTGTACGTACAACAACGCTTGTAAACAAGGGTATCCAAACATAGGCAGATAGACGGATACGTGAAGCGAGGTGGACCACTCTCGAACTAGTGTAGGCTCGCTCCCTGCTCTGTGTAGTGTACAGATACCCGCGGGCTCATGAACAGCAACACGCAAAGGCGGTGAGCAGCTTGGGTGCTCGGTGTGTCCCATTCGAGATTCTGGGTACTACATAGTATGTCGCTGGCGCTTGTAGGGGGAGGGAGATCGGCATGGGCATTTGTCCCCGATGCATGACCAAGAACGCTTCCCAGAGACTAACGGGGCGAAAAAAACAAAACAAAACAAGTTTCTTGAATTCCAGCTAATTTACTTACTACAGTACTTTATCACCATGTACTCTCCATTCTCGACTGCAAAGAGACAACATACTTGAGATTCTACAATAACTCTGTCCGATATCTTGGGACACGTATGCCACATGTTTAGGATCGCACTATGATAGTGAAGAATGAGGGGGGCGGGGTTGAGGGAGAGTAATGAGATAACTATTTAAAAATAATAATAACAACCATGACCCCGGAACCAACGGCATAACAAGCTAGTCACAACAAGCGGTGGTAGTGAGTATCGGGCAACAATTCACCATCGCCTCAGAATTGGTCAAAACGGATCTTTTCACACTGGTATAATAACATTCTCCCCTAATAGAATGGCGAATTTATTCACTTCTGGTCTGGTATATCCTGTAGAGGCACGGGGCTGTTGGATACCCAGGAGTGTGTAGGTATCTACCGGTATGATCTATCTGCAAGTCGAGGCCTCCAACGGTCGCAAGAATATGCATATAGACCGAGTTATATACCAAAACGATGATATCAGCAATGAGGTAAAGGGTCCGAAAAGTAGCCGTAGTCACCGTGTCCGCAGGTGTGAATGTATGCGAGAAGTGCGCGAGAAGTCACCATCGACGAACATCTAGTCAAAGCATAATAGGGTATAAGTTGGAAGCGGCTTTCGAGTGCAAATTCGAGATATTGCGATTACTCGATTCATTTTTCAAGGCAGTCACAGTCGAAACTTGAAATCTCAAACGATCAACCAAACTATCAACGAAACTGGGGACCATTCGGCATTGATAGGGAAAGCTTGATCAAATATTATACAGTCATGTCTGAAGACGCAGCAAGCATTAATAGGTCTATATTCAAGTACGTGTCTGTCTATTCATATCTTCAGCTTTCATCACCATCCCTCATCCCCCCCCTCCTTTACTTTGTCGCCTTGCCTCCTTTTATGGAATGTTCTGCACTTCGTACACAGGATACAGGATATTCAAAGACATGTAAATCCGCCTGTCTTCCCGAGGGTTGAACGTCTGTCGATGTGACACCGCGTTAGTTTCTTGTCAATCTTCTGCGCTGTCATCCATTGATCGCGCGTAGAAAGCTTGTTCGGTGGAATAGCACTATACTATGGGTTTGTGCTACTCGATTACAATTGTCCCGGAAATGGTCATGACTCGTTGTGCCTTACCAATATTGCTGGATGTCGAGACTCTCCAACGCATGACTTGCTGCGATCCTACACGGAGCAGCTAGGATGCTTATCACTCCCCCTTGGAGAGGACATGGCACATTTTAGACTTCTTTCTGTCCAAGGACACATAATACACCTTAATCTCGAGTTATTATAGTCATTTCACCCCTTGAAAGTCCCAGGATCATGAAATTCTAAGATCTCAAACCGCTACTTGGTCAAATATCCTGTCACCCTGCCTCAAACAATAAGGAGCAAATATAATGCTGCAGCATTTCACCAGGAAGACGGATGATAGCTGACATGGACAAATAGTGAGGAGGCCGCAAGCTACGATGACAAGCACAGGAAGCTCAACGAGAGACTCACTCGTGAGCTCCAGGCACGCCTGGATTTCATTGGTGTCAATTGGGCTTCGGACGACGAAGATAGCGATGGAGAGGAAGTAAAAGATAATGATAAAAAGCCCACACGAGAAGTTAGGCTTCTTGACTATGCCTGCGGTACTGGTATGATGTCACGAGTGAGTTCTCCGGCTTTTCTGCTCTGATACCAAACAGACAGTGGGGTATTAGAGGACGGAGGTGTTATATCAGTACTTCCTCTGGCTCCGAGCTTCAATTTACCTCCCTTATTTCTTTCCTCATTCATTATTTTCGTAGGCCACACAGAATAAGAAACTTTACAAGAAGGGGCAGTGTTGTTGCCCACAGCCGAACCAAAGAGTCACTTGAATCCCAGGAACTAACCATGGTGGCTAGGCTCTTTTACCTTACACGACGCAATGTGTTGGCATGGACATATCCGAGAAAATGGTAGCGGCATATAACGCGCGGGCAGAGAACCAGGTACGTGCAACTTCCATTTACTTAGCCCTTGAATAACTATGAGCATCGATCCTTACTTCTTTTATCTAAGAAGATACTACTTTAAGTATTGTATCGTCACGGGCTTGATAAAAACTCACGGAATATCTGACATAGTAACTGATCTATTTCATAGGGTCTCTCCCCCAATGAAATGCATGCTGTTGTTGGTGACCTCGCATCTGAGATGGCCGATGAGACACTCTCATCCCCAGAGCTTTTCAACTTTGACATCGCCGTCGTAGGGGGTGGCTTCCATCACTTTGGGAACCCGGGGCTCGCGGCGAAGAGATGTAAGCACCACTACTCCATTTTCATACTTTAAATTCTCTCTCTTTCTAGTTTTCCGTCTCGCAGCATGTCAAACCCTACCCTAGCCCTTTCCATATTGGTGATGGGTCAGCAAAATGTCCTCTCTCCCTGTTGATCAATTCTCACAGAGGAGCCTCTCTGAAGAGAGCTTACTGACTGATTCTGGGAATAGTGGTCGAACGTCTAAAGCCCGGCGGCGTCCTCTTAATATGGGATTTTCTACCCCACGCCCCACGACAAGGACATCATCACGAACACCACCACGGCCATGGCAAAGTAGGCGAGAAAGAGAAAGAGGAAAGTCATCACAACATCTACCATTCCGTCATGCATCATGGTTTCAGCGAGCCACAGATGAGGGAGATATTTACAGCTGCAGGCGCCGGTACGAATTTCAAACTCGAACACATCGGTGGTGGCTTTACTATCGCCGGTCATGGGCATCATAAGGAGGGGCAGAGTACGGCTACGAGCGGCAGCTGGGATCTTGACCCCAAGGACGGGAGCGGAGAGAAGGGCGAAGACATCAAAGACAAGGAAGCTTTCCGTCGAGAAGTCTTCTTTGCGAGAGGGACGAAGGGTGGAGAGTAGATGAACGAGACGTTAGGTTGCACCTCAATTGAGCTAGAATGAGAAGAGGATATATGTCGCTTTAGTATGCTTTCCGGAAAGACTAGAGAGTCAAGGCACGCAGTCCTAGGTCAAATAGACAGCTCTAGTACCAGAGTTGTTAATCATTATATATAGTAGCTGGTCTATTGCAGCATCTATCTAAAGGTTCCCTACGTATCTGTAGATTATTTCATGACAAATACCTCAAACGATCACTCAATGCTTCGACGGCGCTTCTATGAAAAAGCTTTCCAACTAACCCGAAGACAAATCTAGAATCATGAGTAAAGGCAATCAAGCAGCTGGGGGACTTCCAAAAGATAATCATCCTGGCATATATAGATGGAATGGTCTAAGTCGTTTTGCCGATGATGAAGGCACTGCCCAACAAGATCGCAGGCTCGTTGATATTGTGATGCTCGTAGCTAAACAGATGTGAGTTTAGTATACTAAACTTCAGAATAATGCAAAGAAGCTAAAAGTAGAATAATAGGAGAGACGGGAAAGAAGAAAGAAAAAACCAAAGAAGATAATTGAATCCGGTGATTTTTTCTCTGATGGGTTCTGTCTTGAGTATTGCGTCACACTTTTAGGATGGGAGAGTTATAAGCTATCGAGTACAACTGGGTTGTACTGATCAAGCGGGAGAAGAGAAAAGAAGATGGGATGCCCAAAAAAAAAAACCAGGAATCGAGCTCACCTCAGCGTTCCAATTCCGCCAGCCTCAAGTAGAAACGTCGGGCCCTCAGGCAAAGTCTTGCCGACCCAGCGCATAGCGAACGCGCGCAAGATATGCCCATGCGCCACGATGAGAATGTCGCCGCAGGGCGTAGAGGGGTCCTTGGGCTTCCCGATAACAGGAGCGTGGTATTTGGACCGGATCTCGGCGATCAGCTCGTCGACGCGCCGTGTCACATCCTCGGGATTCTCGCCGCCGACGCACCCGTCGCGCCAGATGTCCCAGTCGCGACCGAGCCCTTGCTTCTCGCGGATGTCGCGGATCGCGGGGCTCGTGATCCCCTCGTAGTCGCCGTAGTCCCACTCCCGGATCGCCTCCGTCACCTCGACGCGGGCGCGGCAGTCGTCCGTCGCCGGTGCGTCGGTGGGCGCAACGCCGTGCGAGTGCCACGGGAGCGGGTCCTTGATGCCGAGGTTGAGGAGCTCAAAAGTGCGCTGAGCGCGTTTACGGGGGGATACGTAGCTGGACTTGTATTAGTCGTTGTATTTCTCTTGAGTTTGTTGTCTCTTTGCATCAATGCCTGACGTAGAGAGACCGCGTCGAGGTGTACGGCTTCTAATGACACACAACGCCCTTTAGTAAGGCAGTGTGATGATATGTCCGGCTGTATATGCCAATGGCGATGGTAGCTGTGTACAAGCTCTCGCTAAAGTTTAAAGAGAATAAGAACTCACATATGTGCAAGCTGCCTCGGTACAATCAAGCGGTCATTACCAACGAGGGCTTTACCAGTAGCCTTGACACGCCGCTCACCATCCTCCGTGAGAGGAATATCTGTGTTACCGGTGTGTCTGCCGTTAAGCGACCACTCGGTTTCGCCGTGGCGGGCTATGAATACTCGAGGAGTTGCCATGTCTCTCACCGACCGTCTCGTCTCTATTGCCAATAGATGATGCTTGCGTGCGAGTTATTATGATTATGACTGTAACACAAGCGTCGCGGCGACTGAGGGGCAGGATGGAGGGGTTCGATGATAGGCCCCGCGAGCTGCGATATTGAGTCAGGGCTTATATCTCTATCCGAGAGTATGGTAATGTATGACGAAGCCGTAAACACGTCTTGACCATCGAAGCAATTGAAGCAGATTAGGCAGTTATTGTCAGGGATACTCAGCTTGTCCTCACTCAGCCCCTCTAGTTCGTGAGAATGAATGACGCCATGCAAGTAAGTAACAGTCGAGAAATAAAAGAGGGAATAACCTCCGCTATTTAAGCATCTAAAAAGGCACAACAAGCCAGAATTCCGGCAAGATAGCAGCACCTACAGCAATCCTCATTTCTACCAGCTAGAGATCGGCTATGGGCGATGGTTTCTGACCAAGATGCTGCTGCTGCACGTCGATTACTAAGGGCGCTCTCGCTGTCACGAGTCGGCGGCTGTGATGGGGGGCTTCCAGCGGGACCCGGCGGCTGGCTCCGCTGCAGACGTGGTTGTAGTGCGCTGTTGTGCCGGCACCGTCGGGTCCACCTTTGGTGGCTCGAGGCCTCTGCCTTTTGCGTTTGTCTTTTGCTTTTGTCTTCTTCTGCCGCCCGAGAAGCCGGCCATTTCCCATAACGGCACCAGGTGGCTCTGCATCTGTAGAGTGTCTAGGTAATCTAACCGACTAGGACCGCCCGAATCGGCGCCGACACCATCAGTACCTGCTCGAGACGATTCATTTACCGCCAACTTCACCCCATTAGACAATAGACAATATCGCGAGTACCATCAGCCATTCAAGCATCTATGGCAGTAGCTGTAACGGCGCGAACCGATTGACAGAAGATAAAGGGCTGTGCGACACTGGGCTTGAATTGGGAAGAGACGGGAAAGGGACCTGCGACGAGACGATAGCTGATCAGGGACAACGTTAGGGCAAACAGACTAGGCGAGCGGTCCCTACCTCTGCCGGAGTAGGTCGGCACAATATCTTCTCGCCTTATCCTAGCCGTCGGAAATTCGTCCAGACGTACTACCGGACAACGGACAACGAGGGTGAGGCGCGATGTTTTCACGGAATCAAGGAGCCTACCACGCGCCACTTCCTGGCCCCCGCCGCGGCGCAGTACCACCGACACCTGGCCCGGGCGGCCGCGGCTCATGGCCTACGCCCAAGCGCATGATCTGGACAGGCGCATTCGCCGCCGTGACCATCGTCGGTACCATCTACGGCGCGGGACTAAAGACGCAGCAAGAGTATCGCGCTGTACGTCTACCCTTTCCTCCATCCCCGATATCCCTTTTCTCCCTCCCCATTTCTCCAGAATTGGGAAAGGGGAAAGCTCAGAGTCTCCAGTATAACTTACCCGCCCGTGCAAACAGGAAAAGAAACAAATCTTAGAAACCTCAATAGAAGAGCGCATCAGCGCGCTCGAGGCCCGGCGGGCGCAGCTCGTGAGGCAGAAGCAGCCTCTTGAGAAGAAGCGAGAGGAGCTGCAGCTACGCATTGAGAAGCAGAATCAGGCAACAGATACCCGTTCTTGATCCTGATCCCAGATTATTATCTACGCATTCTTGTCTTACCCTTGTGAAAGGCAGAAAGGTACTGAAAACCCGAAGCAGGGATGAAATAATGACTTGGTCAAGCGATGTTCACGCGGAGTTAACTCTACTCCCGAGTCTCACCTTGGTCTAGGGAGGAAAGAAAGAAGCTCTAGAGAAGCTACTACCAGGACAAGGCAACAAAGATGGCGCTCAGACTTAAGGGGCCGTTTACGTCACAGATGCAAGTCCTTGTTGTCCGTTCTGCAATTTGATGCGACGTTATGAAGCCGCTCTTCAGAGCTAAGGTCGACTATACAGATGGGCTGTGCTGAATGTCAACTCCGGTACCTAGGTTACCGCGTCAGCTGATAGGACTACGGACAAAAGAGCCTAGAAAGCTGGACACTGGTCATCGGAATTTGTAGTGCATCAGACATATCAACCGTAACAGCTATCAATGTAGAAGTACAGAGGCACCTAATGCGGCGTGTACCATTGGCACAACAAATAAAGTACACCACCAAATATAATGAATCAAATGGGTTCTTCATTGACACAACTCTTGAAATCTCACCATGGTGAAAACCGATTCATGTAGACGGCGGTGCCGATGTCGATGGTGAGTGCTAAGCCCTATAATCCCGCTCACCAAGGTCATTTAACGCCGATCGCGATGCTGCTCTATTCCTACTCATAATTCTTTGGGGGGGGGGGGGGGGGGTTGGATTTGCATTGCTCTGTGCCTGGCAGCATTTACTCGATGTTGCCTTCCGCTGTAGGCAGTGGAATAGCCTTGTAGAGCAAGATGAGAGCAGAATGGGATTCTCCTCCACCAGCTAGAGCCTCAATTTTATCCGCCGTAACCTCAGAGACCTTATCGTCGTTAAACCACCACCACTTGCCATCCTCTTCCTTCCTCTTGCGGGTCTTAGGGTCGATCGGAGCCGTTTTCTTGACATAGGCCGTGTAGTGCCCGCTATCAGCACTGGCTCCCTGATGCGTAACCACGCCACGTAACTCATACAGTCCCGACTGATTCGCACCCTCATCTTTAGATAGTTCCGGACTAATGAGGGCATTCAGTTCCTTCTTCATCGCAAGCAGCTGGGCATCTCGTTCAGCGTCAATTTCAGCATCAGTCTTGTATGTCTCCGTCATTTCTACGTCGCCGTCTCCAGATGTACCCGCTTCTTTCTTGTCATCCTTCTTTTTGGGATTAGACACTTCAGGGACGCCGTTATCATTGTCTCCGTTGCGCTTGCGTCGTTTGCGCGCTCGCTCAACATCTTCTTCCTCCTTTCGAACCTCTCTGACCTTGTCTCGAACGGGGATAAGAAGCTCTTTGAGATGATCATCGCAAAACTCCACGACATCTAACTCATGAGGGAATGTGACCTTGCGCATGATCTTGGCTTTCTTCTGTGTTTCGCGTTTCCAGAAAAAGCGGACGAAATGGACAGTTAGGTATTTGGGCAGACGCGAGATCTTAGAGGTCTTAGTATAGGTAGCGTCGCGACCCAGCACCTCTGACCTCTTCTCCAGCTGCTCTTTCAACCCATTGACAATTCCATCACGCAAATGGTTTGTAGTGGCATCGATATGGCAGTTGAGCTTCAAAAAGGCATCTTTGGAAACAATTGGTTGCTCGCCACCTTCCCTGGCAGCGGGCTCGTCGCACACAAGCTCCGAGGAGAATTCTCCAGACATAAATTTCTCGATGAAAGAGGCGTCGGTCGTAGCGTCGGTGGCATCTTTGACCCGCAGCTTCTGACGAACCTGGGACAGAATCTGTGACCAAGCTTCCTCGGCATCCTGTTGAGCGTAACCGGAACCAGTGCGAGAGCGTTCAGAGAATTGCGGATAGAGATTGCGTAGAGATGTGAGGAAAGCATGTGGAACATAGGCCTCCTGGGTCTCGGACATGTACTTGTAAGTGTCTCGCAGCTGCCTGGTGAGGTCAAGCTGAGGCAATGTCCCGGTGGCATTGGCACTCGGCGGCTCGTACTTGGCGAGAGCGTCCTGAAGCTCCGGTATCGCACGCAGTGCCTGGAGTGTTGAATTCAGATAGCAGGTATTGCCCAGGTTTGTCAGGCCAGCAGGAACGGCGCCCTCTTGTTGCGCCGCTTCGGCCTCGGTCATATCTTCAACGAACTTGACGGCTTCGGATGGGCGCACGAGATCCTTGCCCTCACTGCTCGGAGTACCGAGCATCATTATTGCCTGACCTGGCTTGAGGGAGAAATGGCTCATGGGCGTGTCATCCTTGAGCCCCCGTTTCAGCAGAACCTTTTGACGCTCAGGTTCTACACCAGTAAGGCTGTAGAGCTGGAACTTGAAGACTTCGCCGGTGGACTCGGGGTCGACTTCTACGTCATATTTCTTGCCCTGGTGTTTAACAACGACTATTCAAAAGACGTGTCAGTAAGGGATACAGGTTAGTCGCAGCAGGCGAAGGCAAAGAGAGAGAGAAAGAAAGAAAGAAAGAATTTAGCCAATGGTGGCACCTACCTGGTATTGACGCCATGTTGAATCTCTGGGTATTGTAGCTCTGCACGAGGCCTGTTTGACGAGGCGGTAGCGAGAGAAGCTTATATATCTAGACAATGCGGTGACGGATATTGGATGAAGTGAAAGGGCAGTTTTAAGTAGCTACACCAAAGGATAGGCACAGACGAAGAGGTGGTTGAGTAGTCCGAGAATGGACAGATGCAGGTAATGTTACAAGGCCAGGCAAACTCTACATTCGTCACCTGTAATCATCCATCGGCTTCCACGGCCACAGCTTTGTTTGACGGGCGTTTACGGCGTCTGAGCGAACTGCTTACAGGGCACCAAGCTCCAAACCACCAAGCTCCATTGGGGCAGCTAGGTACCTCACCCACCTACCGTAATTACCTAGGGGTAGGTAGGTACCTACCAGTCAAGCCCAGTGAGCCAGTGAGGGGGTGGTGGAGGGGTACCTAAGTATGTAGTACGTGCTGGTCATAAGCCACAAGTTGACGTCACGTGTGGTCCCTCCTACTTATCAGTACAAATTACTACCTAGTAGATACCTACGAGTAATTACATAAGGTACCTAATGAATGAAATACGTGTAACTACCTAGGTACTAGGTATGTGCATATGTAGGTAGGCCAGGCTCCCAGAGTCCATCATAGCCACACAATCAACCAACGTCGTCGTAACTGTCGGGCCTCGAGATCACTCCCTGAGATCAATCCTCCTCGCCATGGTAAGCCAGGAGACGCCTGTCTCCACACCAGCATCCTAGAATCTCATCTCTAACACAGCTGCAGTCTCAATCCCTCCGCCCTTACCTCCAGTGCGTGAGGAGCTCCGTCACAGCTGCCCTCTGTCTTTCCAACTTCGCCTCCCAAACATCAGAGCGACACAATGTCCCCGAGATTGAGGCCCAGACATCGCCCGAGGTCCTGCTAACGCCATTGGTCATTGCGCGCAACGAGAACGAGAAGGTCCTCATAGAGCCAAGCGTCAACAGTGTCCGCATCAGCATCAAGATTAAACAAGCCGACGAGATCGAGTCCATCCTAGTCCACAAATTCACCCGATTCTTGACCCAAAGAGCAGAGGCCTTCTTCATCCTAAGGAGAAAACCTATCAAGGTATGGGATTGGAACCTCCATGCCAACGTACCCCGGCCGCGAACATGAGTACTCAGCTGATATTCGTCGCCAGGGCTATGACATCTCCTTCTTGATAACGAACTTCCACACCGAAGAAATGCTGAAACACAAACTGGTCGATTTTATCATTCAGTTCATGGAGGAGGTCGACAAAGAAATCTCTGAGATGAAATTATTTGTTCGTCCTCCCTAAACTTGCACAACCTTGGACGCCCTCTGATGCCATTTAGTTGAACGCGAGAGCACGTTTTGTAGCCGAATCATTTTTAACACCTGTGAGTTTCACAGCCTGCCTGTCAGACTATTATACTAAACTATTTCATAGTTTGATTAAGGGGAGATGTGTGAGTCTTACCGAGGACTATTACAATGCATGGTGTGATGGCGTCAGGAAAGCGGCATGCAAAATCAGAGGGTTGCGGTGATAATAACCCATCAACTATCAATACATTTATCTTGAAAGCGCCGTTGTTATAATGGTCGACGCAATGCTATATACTGCTTTCATTCAAGAACTCATGCGTCACCAACCTCATCAGAACCGATTTCTCTATTACCCTACAAACTAGTCACATTGTACTGTGATATCGTCTACTAAGCCATCCTAAATGCCTTGCAGCCATTATGTCAGCTCCTCTCCATCCTAGACGGTGTTGGACGCGGACTAATCAATACGTCTTAGGCGAGGCATCTAAGATGGGGTTTGGTACTGATTCTTAACCCCGAATCAATTTTCCAACAAAGAGTTACCTCTAACGAAAGGCGTCGACTAAATATGGGATATCTCTATCTCTTTATAGGAGGTGTGGTACCACTGTGTGTTGTTTTATTGGTGAAGCCATCCTGAGGTACAGTCCACAATCTTGGGGCTCCAAAGCTCGGCTGACTAACACAATCTTCATCTTACCACAAACAAAACCCTCTACCTTGATAAGCTGTGTACTTATGTAAGTTTGCGTATGTGTGATACGGAGAATGCGGGGCCCCATCCGCTGCCCTAAGTAAGCCAGCGAGCAGATCCGCAAGAGTCTTATATCCAGAAACATTTACGGCCAATCACGGGAATTCATCAGTCAGCTCTGTCGCCACCGACGGACTCCACGTAATAATTATATCCATATCATAGAATGTGCTACTTTCAGGTCCCCACTGGCGCACGTCACTTTATAGCGTGTACTTTGGTCACCTCTAGAACTAACTGACGCGGACAGTGTACCTTGTGTCTGCTGGTAGGATTAGAATGGGCGAAAACCCATCATACGTTTTACATGAATTAGACTTCCAATCAACCTAGCAACCACGCTTATGAACCTGGTAAGGTCGAACAGTCCTGGGGCCAATCCGAACACCAAAACATCATTGCAACGTATATACTGAGGAAACATATATTCACGTCCACCGGGTTTAGGCAGTCCTTCCTATAGCAGTGATTATCATCAGCACGGCGTTGCTAGGTTCTACAGGCTAATCTATTTATCGGCTACTTAGCCGCGATTTGTTGTCAAACTCGCCGCAGCGCTCCTGTGAAGCTGGTTATTGGCCCACGTCAATTATATATCTGTTAGAATAATCCTGTAAGTGGTGGTCTTATTATCAACTTAACGATAAGTAGTAATTTGAATGGAGCTTGATGAAGGTGGATGTTGTATTTTTTAAGTTTTTTAAGTTGAAAAGAACTATACTTATATGGTGTCCATTCTACCATACCGATTTGACCAATAGCTCCGGATGTAGCTTGTTCATAATTGACTCCTGTTCTCAATATCGTGGTCCGTCTATATTTCTCTTTTGGCAATGGTTGAATAGTGCCACGGAACTAATGAAGCCTAATTTCTATACAGCACGTACCAAGGAACATTGTGTATATTAAAGCTAAATAAGGGGATAAGAGACGAAAATTAGAACCTCTCTCCTTGTGCAATAACAAAATAATTTACTTGAAAACGTAGTATGGCGGCACTGTGACAAGTAGCCTCGCGTTATTGAGAACCAGACTGTCCGGAAATTATTGCCGATGACAGTATACTCAACACGTATGGTCCATGTAACAACTTGCAAAATATTCGTGAAATTTTTGTACCAAAGGAAGTAACATCTTAAATTGTGTAGTTGTCACACGGTCAAGTCTGCCAAGACTCCAGAACCGAACGTAACCGATACTACCCCTGGCGAAGAAGGAGGCTATAAGCGATTGGATAAGGACAAATCTGTTAGCTGCGAAGGAACCAACAGTTAAGGCATGAAGGCCCAACGGGCAGAAGGGAGTCATAGATTGTATGAGGCCTGAATGAGCATAAATAGCCCAAGGAATCTCCTACTCAGAAGAGGGAGAGAGATCAAGGCCCTAGAGACCCCTAATAGATTATTATTGAATATGACTAAGTTCCAAGCCCTCTATAAGAGCCCTTGTCACAGTAGTTCTCCGTTGGCATCTACGCTAGTTAAGTATCAAGTATGGTTCAAGTTTTCTGGGAATTTGGAAGTATCGTTGAATAATCACCAGCCACGGCAGCCGTCTATAGGAGACCTCTCTTAATTGAAATGTGCAATCACATTCCCGGCATATCCTAGCTGGAGGTGATTCAATTACCTAGTTGAATTTCATGTTATGTACAGCTTTTCCCAGTCCTACTTAACATTTAAATATCATCTAACCAAATATTTACGCGGCATGAAAGCAGCGATAAGCTAGTCGATATCAAGTTTGATATTTTGATTACTACTCGATTATATATTAAGATCAATATCACCCCTTATCATGTATCACACTTGTCATCACCGCTTTCATAACTCTTTAACCAGCTCCTTTCGCCTCCCAGAATTGAACATTATCTTACTCGCCGATCGACCACAGGGACATGGTCTTTTTGGACCTCAATGGTGCCGCGTTCGCAAAAAGCACCTTAGATGTTGAGTTGAAGTCCCTCGTACTTTTGAATAGCGAGATCAAGGGTGTTGCCGAGGCTGTTGGCCTCGCTGGTGAGGTCCTGGGAGCGGGACTCAACAAGATTAATCAGGCCAATAGCAATGGTCTAAAATGTGGATGTCAGTCTCTCTAGCTGTCATCGTATCAAATTAGGACTCACGTCAACAACTCCCTCAACTTGGCGGAGGACAGCGGCAATGGGCTGCCCAACGACAGGAACTGAGGTGATGATACCTGCTTTTCCGATCAGGATGTTCAGGAGAGCTTGGTGTACGCGAACAAACTATGGAATTGTTTGTTAGATACGGGTCCAACAGAATTGAACTCGGCCGTGCCAAGGTGACATAATTTTGAGGTCACTTACGGCGCGGAAAGCGTTGAAGATGAGGGTAGCATCCGCCTCAGCAGTGATCGGGCTGGTACCATCCAGCTGGGCGATGGTGACGCTGGCGGTGGTGACGATCTCAGTCAAGCCACGGATGATCTGGGGGAATGGGCCCTGTCCGATGACAATTAGTGGGGCGTTGACGATGGTGATGCTTTGAGCAGGAGCTTGAAGCTGCTGGGACAGGTCGGTAACCCGCTTAAGGCCGTCGGCAATTTGGGCGGGGGAGAGAGCGGCAATAGCGGTGGTAGCCATTAGGGCACCGGCAGCGAAAATCTTGGAAAAAAGCATCTTGATGATGTGCTAAGAAAAAATTCAGGATTATGTGTGGATTGGAAAGCTAGTGAAGGTCGATGAAGGTTCTCGAAGCGGTTGTTTGTTGAGGATGGTGGTGAAAGGAAAAGAGTTCATTTCGAGGGGAGGGTTCCTAAACATTTATATTCCTTTGACAGCCTATACGGCACTCTGTGTTTCTCGATGCCTGCCTCTGCTGGTATGTTCATTTGCTTGGATTGTTAAGATCGTCGTTAGGGTCACCTCTCTGGTTTGAGCTAGTTGCCAAGCCCTGTTCAGCTTCAGACTAGATATCCCGGATATGTAACGAGAACTACCTTATACCATCTTGAGGTTAACCACTCAAGCTTAATCGGTCTCCAATGAAATAGTCAGTGGGTTTGCCGCCGCATCACAATACAATCTACTCAGCTACGTTGCTACATGGTAGATACTCAGGTAGGGGTCTCATTGTGGGCACCAGCTGACAGGACGGACTGGTGCGAGAAGCTATTCTAGCTAGCAGACCACGGGTATTCCCTCACAAGTGCTTCTGGACGCTTCACTGTTGTTCGAACATTTAGTATGTTGATTCGGCTCATATTCTTTGTGGCCCCCTACTCCCTCGGCAGATGGCATTCGATTGTAGATTGTAGCTGGATATGTGTGGTTCACATGTACCAACGAGTGAAACATAAATACGAACCAGATTGATGAGCAAAAAGAGAGTAGCTACAAGTTACAACCACTCTGCAGGCCAAGTCAAACCTTCTGGTATCTACATTCGTACACTGACTGTCGAGTGCATCTAGTGTAGTTGAGTTGAACAAGTTACCGTAGTGTGCTGATCCCTGGGGCATAGACCCCGGCCTTCCTGTGAATTCGGTTCGCAGTTAGCAGACTAGGACTAAACTAACTCTGAAAAGGAGAATAGATGTCTATTGAAAGTCTAGCCAAAGAGTCTTTCCTCAATGCGACGGGCAGGGATCGCGGTATAAGCGCTCATGATAATCGAATCTAGTAAGACTGATACAGCATGAAATCTGCGAAGCCTTTAGCTCCCTCTAGTCCGTACATTTACATGCGTCGCAACCGGTTGTTCTCATGATAGTGGCAATTCTCCACCGAAACGCTCACGGAGCTGCAGGAGGCGTTGAGGTGAGACTCATGTGGCTACCTATTTCCTGCAGCAGCCCAGTTTTCATTACCGCTCGTCTGAATAAATGCTACCCACCTGCATAGGGATATCAGCTGGGGAATTAAGTTATACGGTACCTGAAAATGGTTGGAATGGTCCTATAGGCGGACATTGGACTGGCAACAAAATTACATGTGAAGTGTTTATAGTTCTCCTGGTTGGCTACAGCTCAATGGTGTGGCTTTCTTGCCTCGACGTTATTGTGTATTATCATGTAGAATGATGTCAACTTGATAATTGATATTTCAATCTGCATCCCACAAAACAATACAGTCACGGTTTCCTAAGGCAACAAGGCTTAGTAAGATCTCTTCTATTCCTAATCTCATTTTGAAATTAAGCGGCGAATTGAATCATTGCTTTCGATATATCTCGTTCTCCAAACCTCCACTTTACCGATTCAGTACTGGCGCTAAGGTTGTCTAACCTAATTACTGTGAAAGCAGATGCTCACCGCAGTTTACCCAAGCTCTTAAGGACATATGTGCAATGAGATACACTAGACATATACCTCGTTATACTATCTATGCCATTTCCAGTGTAGCGCCCGTATAAGTATGTCTATCTGATGACTTCTACTACGTTTTATAACAAAATTGGCGAAAGTGTTAGCAAAAAGAAGTAATTGAGACTCAAATTTCTAACACTTTCTGCTCAACGCGTCTCACTTCAAGTGCCAAGAGCACAGAGCTATAAAGCTCGTTTAAGGTTAATAATTCCGTTTTCATGCTCCAAAACATGTTACGCCCTGGAGGCTCTACCGTTTCGGCATTATTGATCTGCCGTTCCCGTACGGGTAATCACGTTGGCTTCGTTCTAGCCTGCCAAGAACTTCATGATCTACGCTAACGGTAGATCCTACCAACCTGGTCACCTCTCCCCATGGGTCTGGTCAATATATCACGCTTAGTTGATGGGCTTCAGCTGGCCCATGATTGCTATCACACCGAATCCAGTATGACTTGCGTAAGTTCAGGTATAGCTAGGTGCAACGTTGGAAAGAGATACACTTACACGTATATGCGTAAGCTGCCGCCTATGAGATGTGTATCTAATGCATAATTGGTTATTGCAAGAGTTTATCAGCTGCCCAGGATAGCCAACGCCACCTTGTCGCAGCTGAGAGTATTTGAAAATAATTGTAAACTCCTCAGACAATTAGGCCAGAGGTCGCAACCCAAAGCGTCGAAGAATCACAATTGCGTGTACTTACTAGTAAAAGCTCTTTCCTTGTCTCCCGCCTCAGCCCGTGACCTAGGTATTATTAAAGCCTCTATACTGTATGGAGGAAAGGCTCAAAACTTTACCGACGGCCCAAGCTGATCGGCGACCCTAAATAGGAGGCTACACTAACCTTATTTACATACATACACACTATGACTATATCTTTTTGGCAAATTCTATCTATCTGTTCTAGTAATAAGCCTACTGCAACACTTGACGATAGCTACTCATAACAACCTGGGACGGACTGGGAGGCATGTCGAGACTAAGCCGAAATTAGTCTTCTTCAGCTCACTTCAGAGAATAGGACGACGCTTCACTACCTTATAAGGGTTATGCGAAGCGAAGTACGGTTGTCATAATTTGTCAGCCGGCTGTGTTCGCCATAGTACTCTAGCTATTCATATACAATAGGAAGTAAGAATAGCGAAGCGCCTTGTATTGTTAGTAGCTGATACGAGTCCTCGAGGACGCTTGCACGAGAATAAGTGTCATGACATATTCGCAGTCGTTAGATACATACGATACGCGTGTCCCTTTAGTACCTTTCCATTGCTTCTCCGGTGGGATGATATTCCAGCGCTCAATTAACGCGTTAGGTCTAGCTATAAAAGTCATTGGATGTCCTCGCCTTTGCCATTAATGGATCCGTGAGACGCCGCCTCGAGCAACGTGAGGATAATATTAAGGATAACAAATTCCGTAATCAGCTCATTTCTTGTCGAGAGGTCGGCATTGACACGGCTATATTTTGATCACAGAATCGAAACAAGGGAGGTTGTGACTCCGTATTGTCATAGTGATTGAAAAAGCTGGATGATATTGTAGCATAATCTTACAGGCAAGTTTACATGAGGGAATAATAAGAATTGCGTCACCAGACCATACAGATCTCTCACCGGGCTCTTCCTCATCTCAACCTCTGCCAAGGTTCTACTCCAGACGGAATCTCATAATTCCAGAGCGCCTCATTGACACACACTCATTGTTTCTTCGGAGCAACTTGGATCGGGTTGCTGGTCTGACCTCTCGGGCCGCAATTTCTCTCAAATCTGTGACTTGAAGATCCTATTCTTATAACTCAAAACCCAACAAGCTTTGGCGTTTCACTCTCCAGTCATTGGTCCTTTTAGTTGCCGGAAAGTGAAACACATATCTTATAACCATGTTTATTGCCAGCTCAACTGAAAATCTATCTGTAAGAGGGGTTGATGACAAGCGTGGGATAGAGTTTATTATTCACAACCGGATGATGTGCTCTGAATGGCAAGATCTAGACACCCCATTTGGATCCTTTCCTGACATTGGTGGCGAGTTTTGATTCTATACATAATTTGATCAGCGTATCTTAATTCTAATGCCAGCCCTAGTCGCATCACTACCCCTTTCCCAAAATAAGTGAATGGCTAGACAGCCATTTATTTGAATATAGCAGAGAGTGATGAAGAAATATATCTCTAGAATCTGCATGCTAAACGCGTACCAAGGTGCCTAACACATGCAAGACTTGCCCATAATCAGTGATGATGACACCTAGCTAGAGATGTCCATAGCCAAGCTCGCTCGCTGGATATCACCATCGATGAGATCTCTTCTCTCGATCGCAGAGTCGAGTATAGAAAAACGCAATAGCGCAGTCAAAGAGTTCATTGACTGCGAGTTAGACTAGCTCAAACTCTTCGGCAATTCGAAGAATAAAGAGGTAATTTTCAAGAAAAAGCTTTGTATCAAGGCGTCGGGGAGAGGCGGATCGAAAAGCGCTTGCCGTTACACATAACTATAATCACGGAATTGATATACATCGGCAGCATTAAGCTCCTCCCTGATGACAGAATGTACGAAACCTTCTCATGCATTCCTCGGCTCTAACTCCTCAATTCAAAGGGGGCCTCGGTTCCTCAAACCACAACTTGAATCAGAGTTTGAAAACCTATATTGTCTTTTCCTGGTTGGTGAAGTCTCTATGGGCGTTTGAATGTATCCCTTCATCACTTTTCTATTTCCATCTTGTTCGTCTAGAGCTGTCACTAGGAAAGCTTCTAGATCACCAAGTGATGCTCTCTTGGCTGATTCTAGATTTATTTCGAATCTGCATGCAACTCATATCAAGATACGATGCATGGCGTCGATGAGTATTAGGCCAAGCAAAGGCGACAAGTACGCTAAGCCTGATTCGTTGAGCACCATCGTGATCGTATAGTAGTATAGTCATTTGTGTCCCACTCGCACGAAGATCACAAAATCCGTTGATGGCCCCTCAAGGCTTGTGGAACATTCGGCGCCTCCAACATTGTCATACCTGCATTTACGGACGTGTGAAATCCTATTCATGAAGCTGAAGCTCACCGTAATTGTGGTGTCGATGTTGTAGTGCATAGTCGTTACGATTTAGGGGAATTAATAGGGTGAGTTTCCAAATGTTCTCAACGCCGCTTAGGAAGCATGTTTGACTTTTGGAATAAGGCCATGCACAACTCTGTCTGGAGGCCTGTCCCTGTCCGAATTCTATCACACATCTTGCTAACGGGGAGAGATAAGTTATCGACTCACCTGTAATACACATAGCCCTCAATAAATTGAACATTTGAAGCGGAGTCTGATAAACCGCATCATCTGAATCCGACAAGTTCAAACCCACGAGAAACCATGGCACGCTTCGTGGGCAAGACGGCAGTAGTCACAGGCGCAGCCTCGGGCATGGGTAAAGAGGTAGCTGAGCAGCTCGCCGCCGAAGGGGCGCGTGTAATGGCCCTCGACCTCGTCTTCCCGGAACAGTCAAGCTCCAACACCTCCCCATCCCCATCCATCCTGCAACGCAAGCACGACGTGACAAAACCGGAGGACTGGGACGGCTTAGTGGCTTACCTGGCCCACGGAGGCGTCGACATCCTCGTGAACGCTGCCGGCGTAATGGACTACGCGCTGCTTCACGAGACGGAATTCAGCAGCTGGCGGCACACGCTCGACGTCGACCTCGACGGCGTGATGCTCGGCATGCGCGCTGTCATCCCGCTCATGAAATCCCGCGGCGGCGGTTCCATCGTCAACTTCTCCTCGGCCCTCGCGACCATCGCCTTCGCTGGATCACCGGGCTACCACGCCGCCAAGGCTGCCGTCATGCATCTCACGCGCAACGCGGCCGTGACGTACGCGGCGGACAAAATCCGCGTCAACGCTGTTCTCCCGGGTATCATCGACACCCCGATGGTGAGGAAGCAGCCTGACGAGTACAATGCTGCTGCTGTCGCGCGCACACCGCTAGGACGCATGGGGACGGCGAGGGAGATTGCTAAGTGTGTCTTGTTCATCGCTAGCGAGGATGCGGCGTACATGACTGGGTCTGCGGTTACTATCGACGGGGGGCTTTCGGCGATGTAGGTGGATTGGGCTGTTATGCTGGACGGCAATTCCATGTGTTTGTTGTAATGCACGCGCTGTCTTCAAGGGGTGAACGCGGAATGCTATCGTTTCATTTAATAACTACATGAATACTGCCCTGTTGTTGATGATATGGTAACAATGTCCAACAGACTGGCTACCTTGCACTGATGACAAACTGAAGAACCCTAAGCCTCGACTAGGTATCACTCTTAATATTTCGGTTTACAAACGACGAGACTTCAATAAAGCGGATTGTCCCATATCATACTCCCGCTACAGCAAGCTGTAATTTCTTGAAGGCTATAGAAGAAATGTTAACGCCAATGCCATTTGACAGGTAGGTACCTCCTTGAATAACTCCATAACTATGCATCGGCTACATAACAGAAGAGGGGAAATGGTACGCTAAGTAACTAAAGCCTGAGTCCAACCTAGGGGGTAGACATTCCTAATTTCATTTCTGTCCTGCCTTCTTCCCAAGAACAATCGATCCTAGGCAGATAGAGCGTGTTGCAAGCAATGAGCCAACCCAAAAATGCAATCTTTGAGTCTGTATACTTGACCGATTATGTTCCTTTTTTGACTCTCAGCCGACCAACTAGCATGGTCCCCAGGAGGAGTGTCATTGATTTTTTTCATGCCGCATTTCTGAATGTGAACTTCGGGAAATAGCAAAGCTCACAGATAAAAGACAAAACAGTGATTAAAAAAAAAAGAATATGCCAAGCCGTGGTATCTACAAAAAGAGATGATGCCATTCTCGCTTTCGTTCCGTCTCAAATTCGCCATGCCATAAGAATATCATTCGTCCATCTCCAAATGTACTAGCATTTTTCAGAGGGTGTAAATTTCGCAATTGCAACAGATTAGTCAAGCTGAGGATTTTGCGGAAAGTCATGGAATCTCCCATCAGTTTTCTTCGTCATCTTCCTCGATAGGCGCAGGGGTTCGTCGCTCATGCCTTCGTTTTGGCCTTCTGTGTCGTGAGCTGGATATGTTACTAGCGGAATCCTCGGGGGCGAGGTCAAAATCATCACCACCCCAGTCACTTTCGCTTGTTACACCGTCCTCATCACCTGTGGCCCAAGGTGGCCGTTCGTAGCCCATTGAACCTCCAGAATGCTGCGGTAGGACATCAATTCGCGAAGCGCGACGATGTTGCTGGCTCATGAGGAGGCCGTTGTTGCGTCGTCGGAGTGCATTCCGTACTACTTCCGCGTGCACATGCAATTTTTCAAAGGCATCCTCAAGCGCCTCCATACCTTGGTAGATTTCTCGCTCGACCTCTGCCAAGACGGCCATTTCAACCTCTTCGTCATGAGACACGGGCTGCCGGTTTTGACTATGTGTGGCTGTTGATGAAAGCGAGATGAACGAAGCCGGGGTTGTGCCACGCGAGTAGAACCCTGAGTAAGGGGTCGTGCTACGGGATTGACCAAAGCCAGATGCTTGCCGTGCTCCCAATCCTGGAGGGAAAGGTGCTGGTCGGGTGGGTGGCGGCGGGAAGAAGCTATTTGCAGGGGTAGCACCTCGCGATAGCGGGTTTTCCATTGTAGGTGTCATCGCATCGTCGCCATCAGCACCTGACCAGAGGAAACCGTCGAACCGACCCGAAATGAGAATCTCCCACTCTTGCGGGCTGATATCAACCATGGTAGCGAAAAGATCATGATGGAAAGGATTCTGGACAAGAAACACGGCAGTTTCCGCATCCCGCGGTGCCTGCGATAAACGGTATAGACGCTGGAGCTGAAGTCCCGTTTTCACCAAGAAATCTGGCCGAGACTTTCGCATAGGGGTTGGTGCTCGTAGAGTTGGTTGTATCTCCTTTGAGCCAGAGATCAAGGCGTTAAAGTACGGTCGTTCTTCCTGATTAAGGCTTGTAAGAATTGCGAAAGCGAGTGTCTCGTCATCTACCTCAGATGGTGGAGGAGCAGGCGTCTCTGCACAGCTGTTCATCCACTTGTCCACCGACGATTTAACCTTCTTAGTCTGCCGCAAGTAATGCTCTCGAAATTCTTCAGCAATGTCAGGATCCAGTTTTACTGGTGAAGCCGGTCGAGGAGGTAGATCCGCCGTGCTTTCGATAGCAGTGGCAACCACACTAGAGAGATCGAATGGTGGCCACGAAGGCATTTCCACTCTACCGCCAACGCGCTCGAGCACCTCACCCCACCCTAACCCTCGATGTTCCTCTGGCGCTTGCTCACACATAACACATGTGCATCCTTCCTCTGGTAAATCTCTAGAGAAGACATCTTCAAGTCGGTCGAGCAGGCGCCTCGCTACTGACCTGTGTCCCGTGGCCACCGCAATTGATCCTTGCTTTTGAAGTACGGTCTGATACTGGTTAAGAAGGTTGAAAAATGGCGCAAATAGAGTTTCACATCCAGACAGGGGCGGGTCCGATGGCCGGTTTCCATTCTGTCGGGGCAAGACTTCGAGAAAATGCTTAGGAACGGGGTGATGTAGACCGCCGTGTTGGAGTAAATAGTCGATTCGCGGCACCTCACTGATATCTAGAGCTGGTGGCGGAGGAGGTGGAGGCGGTGGTGGGCCAAAGTCGGTGGCGGGCGTCGCCACGGGTGTTGGCCGGTCTTTCTCGTCGCTATAGTTTGAGCGGGGGTTATGACTCTCATCCGGGAAGACTTGTGGCGAGGGAAATTGGGCTGTTGCCGTGGGAGTTTTCGGCGAGGAATCCTGCACGGATTCCGGTGAGTCATCAGCGTCGAGACTGGGCATCCTGGTTGACTTTGTGGAAACTGATCTCTTCGGGGGAACTGAGGTTGTAGACGATTGGGCGCCGGCAGTCCTGCCATCACTCAGGCCGGAAGCGGTTTCATCCATGATCTGGATGCTAGGGGGTGGCTTCAATGTAGAGGATTTGCCATACGCATGGCTTGATGATTTAGATCTAGACAGCTTCGACCTATCTTCGTGCCTCGAACTTGATCTAGAAACACCTGATAATCTAGACCTTGGGCGTTCCGACCCATCAGACCGCAGCCTCGAGCTAGAGGTCTTGCTGCGCCGTTTCTTTTCACTCGCTAAATCTGTCTCGGGAGGGCTGGGTGGACGATCATCTTTGCGTGAAGGCTTTTCTTCGTCTATTGAGCGTCCAGGAGACTTGGATCGCCGCCTGTGCTCAGATCCCAGGTCGGTTGGGTCGGGAGTCAACGGGTCGGCCTGATGATTAGTGGCACCTAGGTCATCGCGGCTATGAACAGCTTCTTTGCTGTGCGCCTTGCTAAAGGTTGGGTAAGGGAGGCTGACTCTGCTACCAGCAACCGACGTCCGGGTGAGCTCGGGTACTAGATCATTCATGGAAGAAGCCTTCTCTTTCTTCTCCCGATCCCTCTCCTTCTCCTCTCTGGTGCGGTGGCGGCGATGGTGGGTGGATGATGTTATGGATGGCGATTCGGCGTCGATGGAGGTCCTCAGCTTGGAGGACCGGTGTGAGCGATGGCGGTGGACGTCCTTGGAGTCTTTATCCTTGACCGATCTGGAGCGCCCACTCTTGGAGCGACGCTCTCGCGGGGGTTCATCGCGGATGTTGCTGATGTCGCTGGGCGCTGCAGCATCGGCTTCGTGGTCGTTGAGACCCATGGTTGCTCAGGCTGGCTGCTCAGGCTGGCACCCAATGGGGCCGTGACAGCTCGTCAGGGATGGATGGGGAAACGTTAATGATTAAGGATCGCTCCACGTGGACTCGACGGGCTGCCTAGCGACGGGACGGGGCGGCACGATTGAAGCTTCTATGTTTCTAGCAGGTTGGAGATGGCGGCGGCGGTGCATGAGTTGTACGAAGTATGTCGGTAGTAGAAGGTTTGAGGAAAGATGGCGCAACCCGTGGGTGCATACATCCAGAACATGAGAGGTACAAGAGACACGAGAATGGAGAGGGAGAGGTACTGGTACCGGGTGCCCGCCACTACATCCCTCCACGTGTAGGTACCTCCCTGCACCAGCCGAGCCAGCTCGCCAGCTACGCAGCGGTCTGCTATTCGACGGGTTAGGCATGAAAGTGCTACTGTACCTACCACTTGCAGTGTAGATAGGTACGTACCTATATGGCAGCACAGTGCCTTATGTCCATATATTTAAGTACCTAACTACTTAGGCCACAGGCGTACCTACCTGAAAGCTACTCTAATATACAGTGTACCAGCACTGTATATCTCGACAGTGACAGTGAGTGGTCTCGGCTGCACCCGCACCATCAGGGCTTCCTGGCCATCTCATCTGCAGATGCAGAGGAGCGCGGGGTCTAATTCGTGTTGTCGTTCCATTCCGTTCTACTTTATGAACTCGATGGTAATGATGGCATGCAATGGATGCCTCTAGGTATCCTCCATACCTGTCACCGCTCTCCAGGTAGAGACTTACAGTACTCGCCAATAGCAGGACCCTGGACCCTGGACCCTGGGCACCTTTCGAACTCGGGACCTTGGAATGGTGCACTCATTCAATAACTGTTTTGTAAACAATATTCAGAGTTTCTTTCATATTTAATCATTCTCTTTCTGTAATTTAGTTATAACAAAACTTTGCCTAACTAGGTGAAAAATGCTCCTCATAATATGTATGTACGTAGGTACAACCTTGAGTAGGTAGATACCATCGAAGTATACATATATACACATACTGGTTGAGTTAGGAAATCGCCTCAACTCGAAGCAAAATCTAGATCTCCGAGCACAGCGCAATACATATATACATGCAGAGATCGTAAAATCGCGGTGTGTGTTCATACACAGGAGTCATAGTCGTTGATCTGAAACTCCAACGATGATGGGGATTGGGGCCTGCTTTCCGAGGTCTAGCGCGCTGAGACCGTCTCCAATCGCAAGCCGCGTCGTGATGGCTGGCGATCCACACCGGCCGAACATGTTTGGGGAGACCCAACAAACAAGAGGTTAAGATGGTCACGAGTATTCGCTGTCTTCCAAGACTCGCTAGTTTACTGTATTCATTCATTCCTTCGTCGCTCGCCTACTCTCTATTGGCCACGATGGGGCTACCAAAAGCTGTAGTTCGACTCTATATTTGCTCCCCTAAGCGCCTGCCTATCCAACTGCTGCTACATGTAGGTACAGAAGTTCTTCCAAGCCCCGCCTCAACCAAAGTGGCTGGCTAAGCTGCTCCTCCTCCACCGGGTAAGCGCCAACTGTGTAATGTAAGGTCTATCCTAAGATCCATCTTCGGTCTCGTCTATATAGCATCTTTAATATTCTGGGTATCTAGAATGGAGTCACCGCGGTGTATGCTTTTCGTCCGTTCGCAGACCTTGTCGTTTACAAGCGGTCTAGCAGACCTGTGCCCTCGAGCATGAGGACGATCTGGTGGACAATGGAGCGGACTGACTGCTTCTCACAGTCAACAACCAGATCGGCCTTAGCCGGAGCCTCGTACGGGTCGTCAACACCCGTGAAGCCCTTGATCTCACCCTTACGGGCTCGGGCGTAGATGCCACGCTTATCTGTCTTCTCGCAGTAGTCTAGAGGGGTAGCCACGTGGACGAGGAAGAAGTCGCCGTACTTCTCGATAGCGTCTTTGGCAGCGGCGCGGTCGGCCTCGAAGGGGGCGATAGGGGCAGCAATGACGGCTGTGCCTGAGCGCGTCAGCTCGCCAGCTACGAACGCAATGCGTGCAATGTTCTTGCTACGGTCCTCTCGGCTAAAGCCCAGCTCGGATGACAGCTCGGACCGAACCGTCTCACCTAGCAGCATCGAAACGGATCGGCCGCCTTGCTGGTTGAGTGTGACTTGCAGGGCGCGGGCGACCTGGTCCTTGCCGCTGTTCTGGTATCCGGTCAGGAAGATGGTGAAGCCTTGAGCAGCCCGTGGAGGATGCGATTCACGGAGAACCTTGACAACCTCGGGGTATGAGAACCACTCGGGGATATCACGGCCACTTCGTAGTCTCGCGCGCAGCTCTGTACCAGAGATGTTAAGGGTACGGGTATCCTTGGGGATCTGGTCAATCGGTGCATATTCGTCCTTGTCTGGAAGGTATGTAACCATCTGGAAAGGAACGACCTCGATGCCGAGCTCGTCGCGGTACTTCTCAACTGCATATTGAGCGTCGTACGGGCCGTAAAAATCAACACCCTGGCTATTCTTTCCGGGGCCAGCATGATCACGGCCGACGATGAAGTGAGTTGCGCCGTGGTTCTTACGGATGATGGCGTGCCAGATAGCCTCGCGAGGACCACCCATTCTCATGGCCAGGGGCAGGAGACCCAGAACAGCCATACCATTGGGGTACCGGGGTAGAAGAGCCTTGTAAACGCGCACGCGGGTGAAGTGATCGATATCGCCGGGCTTGGTCAAGCCAACGACGGGGTGGATTAGGACATTAGCATGGTGCGAACGAGCAGCACGAACGGTTAGCTCTCTATGAGCGCGGTGCATGGGGTTTCGGGTTTGGAAGGCAACAACTCGAGACCATCCGAGCTTATCGAAGTGCAGTCGAAGTTCGGCCGGGGTGTCTTTATGATAGCCATGTTAGTCTCTGTAACCCATCGCGCTATAAATGATCGGAGCCAGCTAGCCAGACTCACATCGTAGATCCACGAAATCATAGTGTTGGAGGCGGTTGATAGCCTCGATCTTGCCTCCAACGTAGTACTCGCCGGCGGTTCTGAAGAGATATTTGACCGCGGGATGCGCCTCGTCATCGCTGCCGAAGACCTCCTTTGCCTCGAGTACCCTGCCATTCGAAGTCAAGATTAGTATATAACCCAAAGGATGCATTCCATAGATCATGCTAGGTCGTACTTATTGGGCTTGTAGACATCGTCAACGGTCAGAATAGCAAGATTGCGATCATCACGCAGATCGCGAAGGGTCACGCGTTGACCAGCTTTCAGGCCCAATTCGTTGATGGTCGCTTCGGACACATCAAGAGTGATGGGCATACTGAAGAGGGCGCCATCTGCTAGACGGTTCTCCTTGACAACGCTATAGAATATGGTAAGCGGACAATTCAACTTGGACTGTATCTAGTCCATCGACATTATCTCAGCACCCAACTTACCCGTTATAATCGGCTTCGTTCATGAAACCTGCATGGGAGCTATGTAAGCCTCCGTGATTGTTTGAAAGCAGCTGATAAGCAGAGCTGGACCCTTTATGCCGATCTTTGATGTAACCCCACTATGCATGCTATGGAGGGGTCTTGGAGAGTGCGAATTTAGGATAGAACACGCACCTTCGAGGGGAGAGAAGCCACCATTCAGGATCAATTCAAGATCGCAGAGCTGTCTCTCAGTCAGGACAACGGCAGGAAGCGTCTCGGCTTCAGCAGCAAGCTCGGCTTGTCGGGGGAGGTCTCGGGCAAGGAGATCCTTGAGGATGCCTCCATGAGGTGGGTTCGCCATTGTGAGTGTGAAATTTTTTGAAATTTTTTTTTTTTGGTTTATCGAACTACAAAAAAAGGCGCGACCGTCGAAAAAGCACAAAATGGGCAAGACTATGTCTAGTATTAGTAGGTAGGCAAAGAAAGGCCAGATAATCGGCCAAGCTTAAATAAGTAAGCAAAGGTCGGACACGACGGGAGAGTGCGTAGTGAGATGGATGAAAGTCCTTACTGCTAGCTCGGCCTGTACGTAGATGGGACCCCTGCTGGCGGGGATGGTGATGACGAATTCCTATAAATACTGGACGCAGGCGTCGGTGGTGAGCAGGGGAAAGATGGCGGGTTGATGGAGCGACGATTAGCAGACGGGATATATAAACGAGGCGCGGGCGAGGGAGAAACTATTTAAGATGCACATTTTTAGATACAATATAGCCGTTTCTCCATGTCCAGATCGATTCCAGGTACGTCAGCGCTCAAAGCAGACTTTAGCTTGGATGGCGTGCTCAGGAACCAAGCATCGAGCGTGGTCAGCGGGGCATTTAACAGACCAGCATGACTTATCAAGCTGAGACTTCCCGCTAGTTCGATGCTACCCTTTCGACATGGGCAGCCGCCTTTGAGCCGCCGGTAGAGGCATCAAGACGTTCCGGCGTGGAATTGATCTACCTACTATACCTACCTACCTACTTACACGTGAGGGCATCCGCACCTGTCCGCGCCAGATTTCGGACGTGCCCCAGGAATGCCAGGCTTACACTCCGACCTCACCAATTTGGAAGTGGCGGCTGGATGGGGGCTGGAAGCTACTGCGTCGAGTAATCCTGCCGCTTCCTGATCTGATTGGGGTTCCTGATTGGGATTCCTGGTTTGGGATTTCCAGGCCTTTATGCCAACCTGTGTCAGGCCTAAGTATGAGTCCTATAAGGAGGTAGGTACCCTCTATGTATGTACATATGTAGGTAGGTACTTATGTAGGTAGGTCTGCTAGGTACTTAGGTAATGTAATGCCAGGACGCTACGGCACCGCCCAGGCACGTAACGTAATGCACGTGCAAGCGTTTCAGGAGGCTTTTTTTACTGTATAAGTTCCCCCCCGGTCTGTGCCTCGTACCTAACACTACTGTACATGGAATCCGGCAAAACTAAGCCCACTCAAAGATCCTCTCTGATCCTCTTCACATGACACCTTGATGTGTGCAATATTGAACACGAAAGAGTATCATGCGTTGCATATCTGGATACCACCTCTTGTCCATCTACTACCGTCCACGCTCCCGTGCGATGTAGCTACCGACACCCGAGAGCGAGATCCGAGATGGACCGGCACGTAGCGGGTATCGGTGGGACCGTCTACCCCGGTGCTACCGGCGCTCTATTATAACTTACAAAGAACATAAAAAAAAAAAAGAGGAGATAGAAGAGGTCTAAAGAGGTCCGAAGAGGTCTGAAGAGGCTACTGACCTGGTCAGCTGTCGAGGCCAGTGCTCTATTGTGATGGGCCCTGTCCGGGGTTCTCGGTGTATGACCTCCGCTATGAACGACGAGTGCGACGAGGTTACAGTAGGCAACAGGCACAGAGCCAGGTGTGATGAGTCGGCCACTCGGCACCGACTTCGCCGACGAAGACATCCAAGACACCTGACGGACGAACTGCCGCTGCTGCGTCTTGTCGATCAATGCACTTTTGTCTGCAGTCTACCGAATCAGGATCTCCATACATGGTGACTTTTCTCGTCGGGCATTCCCCGTTCGGCTTCCGATCGACTTACTCTGATGCGCCATTGGCTGTGCTTATGTGATTGCTGATTGCTTCTTTCCTCCTTTCACTCAACACCACACCTAAATTAGTTCGGGTCATTTGTATATTCGTGGTGATATATAACTACCACGGTACGCGCAGCTTTGGCCGAATCAAGGCGTCTTGGCCGTTACGCAATTGTCACCGCTGAACCGATCACTTGATATCTAGTGCCAAGCTATTATAATAACGGCGAAGTGATCCATTGCACCTTCGGTTAGGTATTGCCTACATCTTACCAGTCGTGTTGTCTCTTCCTTGACCGTCGTGATCCTACACGATAACTCTTCCAAGTCAGACAGCGCGCAAAGCTCTTACCCCTTCTCCGCACCTTCTCTTTCGTTTATTTTTTTTTTCTCTCTTCTTTTCATAAAATGCACGTACAAGATGCCCAGCACGAGAATTACCTGATACATAATCTGCACCATGCTCAGTGAAGCATAACAGAGGCTATTTTCCATGCCTACTTTGTAACATACCATTAATGACCCGGCGACTTGCTAACGGACAAATTGCTGCCATCTTGGCAAACTTGGCACCTCGCTCGCAATGATCTCGGAAACCACTGAAGGCTGGTCTCGTAGGTCTCGACGACCGTAATTATTGGGTGGCAGGTCAGCAGTTGCTGGGCCATTCTGAGGGTTTGCATCGCCTTGGACAGTCACAAAACCCGTAACAGATGGGTTGCTGGGTGTGGTACCGAAAACTGACTCGGATGCACTGACCAGCCCAGTGCTATTTGAAGCCGGTCCAGTAATCGGCGTCGTGATTGAAGTGATGAACGTGCTCGGAAAGACCGGGGCGCTGGCTATTGTGGAGTTAACTAATACACCCATTAGTACGGTACGCGGCGCGAAGATGGGAACTTACTTGGCGCAACCCCAGATTGGGCCCGGCTAGACTGAGCAGGCAATACGCTAGGAGAAAACACAAGAGTCGTTACCGTACCTGATTCAATCACAATTGTCTCGCTGCAAGTCGTATCGATCGAAAATGATAATGCCGACGACGTCAGTGTGACGATAGTTGTTGTCTCCGGCAATGTGATAATGGTTTCACTACATGTTGTATCAATTGGCGACGACGGGAACGACGACAAGGGCAGAAGCGAGGAAAATGTCAAAACCGTCGTGGTGCCAGATTGCGTGATCGTGCTCTCGCTGCACGTTGTGTCCCAAGAGAATATAGAACTTTGCGCCATAGATGACGAGCCAATAGAAATCACACTGTTGGTGATACTGGGTAGGGCAGGACTCTGCGTGGCTGTACTAGATCCAGATACCACAGTCGACCCCGCAACTTGTGAGGAAATCCCCGTGGATATCGAAGAGTTGGATGATGGCAATATGCCTGATGTCGACAAAGCTGAAGGCGCGCTACTGGACGATTCTCCCGAAGGGGCTGATGATGGGCCAGTGTTGCTCGGTCCACTTGTGGATGGTGTCACCACAGGACTCATGAAGGAGGGTATCGATGTCCCCGAACTCAGGCTGGTGCCAGCGGTTGAGCTGTTTGCAGTTCCAAGGGGCGAGGTAGTGCTCTGGCCACTGAACGTTTGTGCTCCAGTACTCGCCGATGTTAGTATTTGTCCTGACGAAGCAGTCCCGCCTGTTGTCGAGCTTCCGATGACGCTACTGATTGGGCTTATACCTGCTACGGATGAAGAATTGCCTGGGATACCGGAGGATACTGGTAATGGATTTGTCTCGGATCCCTGAGAGACAGACAATGACGGCGGCGATACGGTAATGCTACTGCGCAAGCTCGTCACGGCCTCCGCAGACGACATATTATATGGTAGACTCGATAAGAATGACCCAGTGCCTGTCGTAGATGCAACACCCGGGACTGAGATTGGGCTGGTAGTTATCGCTACCCCATTAGTGACGCTAGCAGAGAGGCCAGAAGTAGCAGCCGTCGAGTTTGAGAGGGGATAGGGGTTCGAAAGTGTTCCGGTCGAGGTGATTGGAACGCTGATACCAGGCCCGGAGCTGGTGCCAATGATTGATCCGCCCGAAGCTGGAGGCTGACTAGTGTTAACTGGACCCGAGCTTGATGAGGGCGATGAGACACTGCCTGATACCGGAAGCGAACCTTGTGAGCCAGAAATAAGACCAGTTGAAGTGGCAGCCATAAAGCTAAGCTCCGTGCTAAACAATGAGGTGGGTATAGAAATCGCCGTCGAATTCGGTACAGTGGAAGGCGGGCTCGGGCTGGTTTGTGCTCCCGGTCCGGCTCCGGCTCCGCCTGTTCCAGTAATGACGACACTGCCAGAACTAAAAACTGTCTCGGACGCGAACGACGTGACATTGCTGGACACGGTTGATACCGTCGAGTTACTCAGAGTTAAAGGTGGGTTTGTGGGAAGGGACTCCGTGGTTATTCCAGAGCCAGCTCTTGTTGTGTTCGATGAAGTATTGCTGCCATAACTTGAGCTCGTTCCCAGCGGTAACGGCAGAGTCCCGTTTGAGACCGGAGCGATCGTTGTGGGAGTTAGAGCTGTTACGGTTGTTGGAGGCACTGTTGACATAGCTGGCGCAGTGACATTGGTTTCTACGGCTGTCGTAAGTGTGTTTCCCGTCCCACTAATAACCGAAATAGTCGACACGGACCCGGATAATAAGACTCCAGTGCTAGTTTTGGTGCTGTATGTAGTGCTCGGGTTCGGTCCTGAGCTGAGAGTTCCTGGTGCGTTACTCAATGTCGTTGAATTCGTTAACAGATCTGGCGCCGAGCTCGATGGCTGTACTGATATGGCCGGGGAACTACCACTGGCACTCGTTAGGCTCGCGCCAGATGAAGGTTCGGATATAGGATGAGTACCAGAAGACGCCGATGGCGTTGGTGTCACCGTAGCCGTAGTGAGTCCTCCACTGGGGACCGTTGTTAGGCTCACGAGACTGGAAGTATTAGACGCTGGGAAAGGGGGCGTGCTTGATAATGATCTGGTAGAATTGACTCCCGGGCTCGTCTCAAGGCCTGATGGCAAAGAAAATGACGCGGTGCTTATTTCCAAGCCTGGTGTGGTGTAGGTATTCGATGATGACCCGGCCAGAGAGGACAGAGTCTGTGTTGACGAGTTGCTAGGAAGGCTTGATAATGTCGTGAGGGCACTACTACTGCTTGGTAGGGATGATGGTCTGCCAGATTCCATGATACCACTTGTTGCAACAGTCGAATTAGGGAATGGATACAAACGAGTTGAAGAGCCAATAACAGATGCTGACGAAGCTGATGAAATTTGTGAACCAGTACCTGAAGGCGAGCCTGTACTTGAAGCCTCTGGGAATCCGGATGTCGAATTACCTACGCTAATCGTGGCTGAGCTAGGTGGTGTTGAGATGAGCTCGGTTGAGAAATTGAACCCACTTGTCAGACTACCAGTGGCACTTACTGAGGTCAGGTCTAGTGAAGAAATGAATGGAGTGGTTGGTGATGATTCAGGACTACTACTGCTAGGAAGTCCCGTAGGTCCCACGGTCGTAAGCGTTGAGTTGGTGATTGAGAATGGCGGGCTGCTGGATGTAAGAGCACCTGATGTCAAAGTCTGCGACGTGTTGTATACGCTTGACATCTCGATCGAAGAGATGCTTCCGGATGCGGTACCAGAGTAATTGCTCATAATGCTCGTGGAAAGGACAACCGGCATCGACATGCTGGTTTCCGGCCCAGAGGGGAACGGGGCTAGAGAAGTAATAGAGAATGCGGTAGAGATTTGGCTTGGTAATGTTGTTTCAGGCCCGCTACTACCCGTAGGATATGGTCCGATTCCAGATACAGATTCGCTCGAATTGCTCAGTGGGAAAGGCGCTGTTGACAAAGTACTCGAGAACAGTGTGCCCGGCGAGACTGTCGTCACGCTGTTAGCTGTTGCGAGCGATGACCCCGAAAGCGACTCTGCCGCAGTAGAAGAAATTCCGGTGCCAGAAAGACTACCTGTCCCGCTATTTGCCAGTGTCGTTGAGTTACCTAGAGGATAGGGGGCACTTGTCGATGACGCTGAGAGGGTAGAAAGAGGGGAGCTTGACGACAACCCAGTAATCGTTGAAAGGAACTCTGTGCCGCGGGGACTGGTTGTTCCACTTGCCTCCAGCGAAGAAGTTGCGTTGCTTGATGGGTATAGAGCTGTCTGGGAGCTGTTCTGGGAGGCAACTACAGATGTGGAGGCTTGTCCTAACGGCCCATTTGTAGACTCACTAATGGGAATAGATCCTATATTGGATGTCGTAGATATAGCATTGCCACTTATTCCACTACCAGTAGGAAGTGTGGAATTTGTAATGGGGAAAGGTGTTATCTCAGTGGAAGTAACAGAAATGGCGGTGCTACCATTCATTGATGATGTGATGGGGAATGATTCTGAAGCAGACACTGTGAAGGAACTCAGCACGCTGAAAGAGATGTTAGTTGCGCTGCCTGATGGCAGCGATGAATTTGTTTGTGGGTAAGGAGCAATCGTGCTAGTAATGCTGGCCGTCGGAACAGAAGAGTTGGTCAAAGAGAATAGTGTTGTCTCGCTAGCACTTGAACTTAGCGGTGGTGCGCGACTGCTCGTGGACCCAACGGAACTCCCTGTTGGATTGACAGCTGAAGCTGAAGAGTTAGTCAAAGGGAACGGCGCCGTTTCGCTAGCACTGGCAGACGTGTTCGCAGCTGATGAAATTGACGGTGCTGCTGTAAGTGATCCTGGGCCAAGAGTCGTAGAAGATCCAGTAATACTCAATGAAAAGCTCGATAGTACTTCAGTAGTAGCTGTCGAGTTTATCGACACTGAAGTACTTGTTGCTCCAGTGCTCATTGGGCCCGTGGAGTTCGTCAGGAATAATGTTGAAAATGATATAGACTCTGCGTTCGAAGTTGGCGTGCCGGTAGTATTTGATTGCCTATTCGTTGGGCTCATGATAGGACTCGATGTGTTAGTCATTGGGTATGACACAGTCTCACTGATATTAGATGAGCTAAGGGAACTAGTTGATCCTAGAGTCGGCGATGTTAACCCTTCCTCGGAGGTAGAGGCAGCGGTACTATTGAGTAAGCTGCTTGTCGGCCCACCTGTCTGAGTGGAAGAACCCGTCAGAGATGATGTTGTTTCTGTCGCACTAGTAGAGAACCCTGTCGTAACCAAGCTTGAGTTTGTTAATGAAGATACTGGAGATATCGCGGTGCTAATCATTGAATTGGATGGTCCAGATGAACTCGTAGAGTTCGAAAGAGGATAAGGAACGGAGGATACGGTACTACTAGATACACTAGCCCCAGTGCCGGTCATAGAGAAGGAATTGCTCGTAATACCACCGCTGAAACTACTGATTGAGCTCAAACTTATTACAGAACCTTGGAAACCGGAGGTAATCAAGCCTGATGGAGGGGTGCTGGAGGCGCTAGGAATGCCAGAAGATGGCGTTGTAGAGCTGCCGGCAATGGTTGAATTAGTCAAGGGATACAGGCCTGTCGAGCTTGAACCCGACTGCTGCGTGGTAGCATTGCTATTACCAGAAGTTAAGGGCGATGTCATGGTACTCGAGACTTCGCTTAATTGAGACGTCAATGCAGTTGGAACAGTACCATTCCCACCAGCGGACCCGGTGCCTTGCGTACTAACTTCCGGTGTCATAGAATTACCTATAGATGTTATGGGCGACACAGTGCCACTGAGAATGGACGTGATAGCATTCGACTCTGGCAAAGTTGTTGCAACTGTTGAGTTTGGTAACGGGTACGGAGTAGATCCTGAAGCAGTCTCTATGCCCGACGTCAGACCAATAGGTGTAGAACCAGTAATCGTACCGGTAGGAGGAGACAAGGTTGCAGATGTGTAATTAGAGGTAATGTTAGGCGTAGTCATAGAGATCATTGATGAATTACTATGGAAAGGTAGAGTACCCGAAGTTTGTGGAATAAACGAAGACCCGCTGAAAGAGGCATTTGCTGTACTGCTAATAGGCTGAGCTGAAATACTCCCAGTTGAAGAAATCTCGGTCACAGTAGTTGGCCCATTGCCGCTGGAACCACCTATCTCTGACGCAGTATTGCTACTGCTCGTTGCGATCGGGACAGTCCCAGAAGTCGTAAGTTGAGTTGAGTTGCCTATGGGATATGGCGTTGAACCCGAATTCAAGATAGAACCAGGAAAGGACGAGTGTATCTCTTGGCTCGCCGAGGAAGTCAGGCTCACTGGAACACTTATCGATATTGTCCCTACTTCAGTAGAAGTTCCACTTCTCGTCGAAGTCTCGTTACTTATGGGGAAGGGGGTGGATTCTGCTGTCGACATATATATTGAGCTAGTCTCCGGGCCATTTGAAACTGATTCGTTCCCCTGGCTAGTTGCAGACATACTCAATGACCCAGTAGTACGTGATAGTATGGTTTCGTGGCTTGTTGAGACCGTTTCGTTACCAATCGGATAAGCTAGCGATGTTGTAATTGAGCCAGTCTTGGAACTCCCAGTGGGTGTTTCTATAATTGACTGATTTCTTTGGCTAATTAATGAAGTCAACCCAGATAATGGTGTTGTCACTTCACTGATTTCTGATGTAGTGCCCTGGCTTTGTGTTATGTTCATCCCAGTCGTTGGGAAAGTCGCAGATGTAGTGGGCGGAATTGGGCCAGTGTTGGTTACTGGGCTGCTTGGGGCGGATTGGTTCCCCATGCTCACTCCAGAAGCTGTAGTTGATGAAGTAATCAAGGAAGCTGTAATACTTTCGGTGGCTCCAGTTGTAGGATTAGCAAGACTGCCACTGCTAGTAATGCCTGAGTTTCGTGATGTTGTGGTTAGTGATACATTCGTGAAAGTAAAGCTTCCACTCGTGGGAATGCTGCTTAGTGACATATTACTTAGAGATGTTGGTTGGGCAGCGCTGTTCGAAAATGTGGTAACCGATTCTGAACCAGTGCTTGAAGTCTCCCTTATGGCAGTGCTACCTAGGTTGGAGCCCGACAAGTTGTTGGTAGAAGCTGTGAATGACACTGAAGACCCTATTAAGCCTCCACTTGAGCTGGCGAATCTCGTTGAGAGGCTAACCCCAGGTACGGAGGTAAGAGACGTGCTAGGCAATATCGCAGTGGACTCTGGTCCAGAACCAGAGCCCCCACTTACTGAATTTATACTCGTAGGCAGCAAGCTCGTGACTTCAGAAGTAACAGATATATTGGGAGACCTGGGAGACGTCTCCGACAGTATGCTCGAAATTCCGGTTGGCGACATCGTCGAGCCGGAAATCCCCGGGAGACTCGGAACAGTTTCCGCTGTCGTCATATTTGAAGTGACGCTAGAAGCATATATAAATGTAGACGTGACTTTACTATTCGTGGTCGTATTCCCCAGAGAGTTGGAATTGGATGACGAGCTTGTGAAAAGGTGCGGGGCCGAAGTTTCCAACGTTGACAACAAAGTGCCGGTAGAGATCTGTGATGCTAAGGTCGTTGGACTTAATGGTGGTGGTGATTCTGCGGCCGAGGATATGCTTGCGCCGTTCTGTGAGGATATTGAGCTCGAGGGTCCCGACACCTGTGAGCTAAGAGAGCTAAATTGCATGAACGAAATGCTCGTTCCGGGCCCTAAGGAACCTGGGACACTGCCAGTGACTGGTCCGTTTGCAGCCGAGGTCACAATACTTTCCGTGGGAAAGATAGTTCTTGTCAATGTCACGCCTGACACGGTAATCATCGTAGTAGATTCGGATGCTAAACCAGTCGTAGGAACAGTAGCCTAGAGATTTATATTAGTGTCCGTCTTTTCCAGGAAGCAAGCATCTGCGCCTCCGGTTGTACAGTCAAGCCCAGATAGTGTCAGTTGCGCAATGGTGAGCGACTTTTCATGCAAGTGAAATGTAGTTAACCATGGCTATGTGTCGGGAATGTGTTAGGTGGTATGCATTAGATATAATCAACTTACGCTGAAGGAAAGCGAGACAGTTCCGGGAGAGTTTGTCTGTGGGCTCTCAACAGGGGTAGCCTGCGAAGACAGCCCGCCTCCGATCGAGGCAGAAGTAGTACTGCCAGACAGAGTACTCAATCTGCTCGTTGGGCTGCCTCCAGTTGTCGGTAGCGTAGGAGCGCTGTTGCTTCCGGTACTTTGTCCTAATAAGGTACTGACAGGAGGAGTGTTAGATCCGACCGCAGAACCCGTATACGAAATAGATGACTCCAAAGGTGCTGTGACTGTTGACGATAAGGCGGAGGTCGTGCCCAAGGTTGGCAGACTTGACGAAGAGAAGCCTATATGAGAGTGAGTATAAGTATTCTTATCTACAGGCGACGAAGACAATACCTGATGAGGCATTAGCTGTTGCGCCAGAAGGCAGACTATTCGAGACAGCAGAGGTTGCCGTTCCTGAAGCAGACTGGCCCAGGGTGGACGATGACGATGTTGGTGGAGGGGGCGGGCCGTATCCTCCATAAGTAATAGTAACATAATCGTAAGCGCCACGGTTGGGTGGAGGTCCTCCGTATTGATCATAGTCTGGCAGTTCAACAGCATCTCCGTTATGTGCGTCGCGCTCCACAATGACATCTCTCATTTCTGAAAGTGCAGATGCGCGAAGAAGACATGCTAGTAGAAAGCCTACCGACACAAGGTCGGCAGTGAGAGTCGAAGCCCTCATGGTGCCACGTTCGGGAAGAAGCACGAGATTTTGGCTTGATATAGACAGATGTTTCAAGACTGCAAAGAACGATGATGTCGACGATAGTGTACGTGATAGAAGAAACAGGATGAAAACGAACGACGGGACGGATGTATGTTACGCAAAAGAATCAGTGATATTGTTGATGTGATAATGTAAACGAGGGACGATGGAGAACGAGAGTGACGAGAAGAGAAAAATATCCTTTCGACAAAGCGGAAGGGGCGTGGGGTGAAAAGATGAGAGATCTAGCAGGCCAGAAGGTAGAGGCAAGTTTCTAGATAGCCACTGGTTGGAGAAAAATGTCACTTATAGATGGCTCTGATTACAAATAACAGTAGGCGAGACAAATGACTCTTTAACGAGGGTAAGTATCTTTTGGTACCAGAGACCAACCGGTTTCAGTAATCAAGACGTTGATTTGCGTAACGTAAGGTATTGCTACACCCATCAACGTGAAAAGGTTTCTAAAGATAAAATACGACAAGAATACCAGGTCTACTTGGCTATAGATACAAACCATGGCAACTAGGATGGGGTTCTACAAACATACACTACAGATGTCACGCAACAGCTTGAGCACCTAAGTAGATAGCAAATAAGCCTCACCACTCTCGTGAAAATGGCAACTGCGAGACGTTTGTGGAAAGCATCGAGATCACTGCCTGGTTCTTGGTTGCTTAGAATATCCCGAAGTAGAGGGCATTTACACGTGATAATGCTCTGGGATCATCTGGGTCATATAAGCCAGGGTGTTAAGTACATCGGCAGCACTACAGCCTGATCAATAATATGTAGGACTGCCTGATATTATGAAAGAAAGAAAAAACGTATAGAAATTAAGGATCAAATTTTGCTTTGGGTAATTATTAAGTATAGTATTGTGATAAGACCCCTCTAGAGACACAAAGCCGGCCACCGGCCTCGTATGAGTCTTATCTAATAAAACACATACTCCCTAGTGTCTTCACGAACATTGCATAGAGATTTCACGGTATTCTCGTATGCACTGGATACCATCCTTTCCCCTGAGCAATGTCTAGCTTCACCACCAGGTTTGAACCGAAAGGCCAAGCTTATTGGTTTTGAGCGCAGCAGTAAGTGACCTACGAAGTGGGGCGAGGAACATTATGGTATTCAACTATATCAGAGTTCCTCGAAACATACTGTTGCATTGTTTCCAATGAAAACTGTACGACCAATAGTTAGGGTGACATGTGTGGTGTCCTGGCTACAATTCGCCATCATTGGGGTGATATCTTTTTGATGACACGAAGGGCAATGCGTAACGCATACACTAGCAGTTCAAAATCAGGCGACATATATCTTCCGTTATGTATCCTAAAATTCATACAGATGGTAGCCTTGCATGTTTATTCCTTCTTTTGAATTGTTAACCCATGTTTACCTTAAACAGTATATACTAGAGTACTTAGGTACTGGTTATACATTCACTCTACGGTACGTGGCTCTTTGAATCACTCGAAACTACTAGGCTGATACGTTGTTGGGAGGGGATATGGTGACATGAGATAACTATCTAGTACTTATTCGACTGCCTGCCGACAATTAGTATCCATAATGTTTTGGTATGTGAAAGGTGTAGCAGGTACTGATAGCCTAGCGGCATTAACATCTGTTGCTCAGTATCACATACATACGTATGACAGCAGGCCTTATCGAAATTTGACCGATTCGATAGCGTTACCTCGTTATTAATGCATTGATTTGACCTCATTTGATATTTCCTCCTGAATAACATATGGTTCGATGAATGTTTCAAAAGTTTCTGTGGGCTCCGAAGCTATGCTAGTAACGTATCATGCTGCCACATCCGTACCTGGAGATTACATTAAGATCTACAGTAACTGAACACCGATCTCCTCATAATCCAGCCATGAAGCCTTAGGACACTCCGCCGAAGAATCATACAAGCTGCCCCCTCCGCCAAAGAGAAAAAAACATGTGCCGATTCATGTAGCATTTTATTCGGCCTTCTTGGCGGCCGCACGCAGATTTGGAGCTGTGCCCGTGGTCATATCCGTGTTCTTCTGCTCGATATCGGCGGCCCACAGTGCAGCGCCCACTTTAGTGACAGCTGTCAGCAGAGGTTATGTTACAGGAAAAAAGACGAAGGCTCACCCGTGTTAGTGAATGAAAAAAAGGTGGAGGCTATTGGGACCATCTCCAGCAGAGTCGCAACAGTTCCAAACCTAGAAAGCTAGTTAGCTGCAAATGAGGCTTCAACTCCTAGGGCCGACGGAGTGCTTCGAGAAATATACAATCATGTACAGCAAACGGTACGATGATAAAGACACGCTGCCCATGTAGAGCGAAATGCTCAAGGCCAGAACTTACGTAGTGTAGGGAACGTGATGCCGTTGAAGCCAGTCCTTCTGCTGTGACGCAGACCAGCCTTTTAATTGGAAGTACTGTGTAGTCAAATTAGACAATGTCTCAATCATCGTGCCGAGTGACTTACTCGGCCATGAACTGATTTGCCTCTTGTCCGACCTACAAGCTAAATTAGACCGATTCGACAAAACAGGAGGTTCGTGACTACCTTGGATGATGATGAACATGATAGTGCCCACAACTATATATCAGGCAATATGTCAGCTCGAATGCTTCACCGATTAAGATGATTGGGAAAGCCCGCGTACCTGGAATGAAATTAAGAGGAAGATACATGACATATCTGATAATGGCCTTGGGTGTAAACTTGCTGAACGGGTTTTTGATGACCCTGCCAAGGCGCGCAATCGGATCATTCCCGGGCTTCAGTTGGCGCCCTTCCCCAACAACACGGGTAGCATTCTTTGAAACGAGCGTGCCATCAAAAGTGTCTAGGATGGCATCTTGCAGGAGAAAATTGCGAGCAACCAAGTTGACTATAGTAGAGCTTTCATTAAGTATAAGAATGACAGTTGTGAAGACGGCCAAGGGGCCGTTCACAAAAACCAATATAGCGAGCTGAGGGAGGTAGGTGAAGAAGAACATGGCCAACGTCACACCTACGGCCAAACCAATGGTGGGCAGGAGTCGGGACAAGAACGGTTTCCATAGCGACCTGTGCGTGAGGAAGTAGAAGATACCGCTTTGATCTGATCTTAGCTTGCTGCGGATGTGGATGACCGAACTCTTGGGTAATTAACCAACCTGAAGGGGTATAAGTAGGAGCCACTCCGGGCTGCCTCGGAGAGAATGACTTTGGCCTTTTCATAATCCTCTTTGCTGTTTCATGTTAACTGGTGGTTGACAAGGCGTATTCTTTGGGGAGAAAAGTGAACTTACGCGACCTCTTGGGCCTTTGCCTGAACCCGATTGATCGCGCCGTGACCATCCGACATTGGCGATGAGGAAGCGCGTAGCTGAGATATTCTGCTAATGTTTTCCGAATACACAGGATATCAAATGATAAAGACCACCGTTTTGGATAGGCAAACTAAGAAGATACCTAGGGAGGATTGGGTTTCTTTGTGCATGATAATTGTCTTCATGGACCTAAAAGTACGTGGATTATCATGTCGTCATAAATGTCATTGCAACGAGCTCTCTAGAGAGGTAACCCCACCTACTTGATCCGGTATGTGGGAGATGGGGAGTCAGCCACACGTGGCTTGTTAGAGTATGAGATGACCTTAGGAGCTGCTTTATCACAACAGCAAACCATCTTTCATATTCTACACAGCACTATACTACCCTGGAATGAGTTCGAATAGAAAGCTAGGTAGCATCTGTAGCCATAAACTCGGTAGCGGAACGGCATGATAATGTCTCTAACTGGGCGCAACTGGACACGCCTTTTCTCCGTCTACGACAAGCTCCTATTAGCGGTCTGAGAATGATACTTGTGATGTAGAATCTTTCTATCGCATTGATCAGGTTTTTCTAGAGGGACTCAGGTACATCCCTCCCTCGCCTCCCAAGGATGTTGGAAACACCGACTGCGCGTCGTTGTATACTTTATCAGGCCAATGGCGTGTGTAAGTTGGCCCGAAAGATGGCGAAATGCTTTCCTCGTCGAGAATGCAATATCATCACAGCCTCTCAAGGCGATCCCCGTCTACCCCTAGCCAGCTCCAGTACGGCCGTCCAAAGCCCGTCGCATCAAGATACGGAGGATATGATGAAGTCGAGATGGCATCGCTGTCATAGAGGAGGAACAATTTCTGGGAGTTTTCAGCATGCATGTTATTGGCTGTCACCCGCAACCCACTTTCCATGTTCGGCCAAACCAGTTACATGGGCATGTATCTGCGATGTACCTTCATGTGGTCAGGTACCTGAAGACCGGTACACGGGTACATGCTTCTACGTACATACTGTAAGCTTCTAAAAACGGGCCGGTACCCAGGTACTGGCGCATCTCACATACCTACGAAGTAAGTACCTAGCACACGATCATGCGGCTTCCCCTCTCAGTGTTCAGTGTTCAGTCGACTGTCGTAACCCGGGGAGGTACCTCCATTTAGCACCTGGGCACTCCGTCGACCACTTCGTCCCATTGCATATAGCTCTCTACTACTACATCATCACCACAGCCCGCGATAGCATCATCTCCGGCCTCAGTATTGGCGCGCTGCTCTGGAAAGCCACATTACCCACCAATTCCACGCTCAGAGCCCCAGTCTCAGCCCGTACAAGTGCGTCGACGAACAGGCCAACCGTGTGCCCACTGGGACGTTACTAGATCGCACGACGAGATAGAGAGACAGACGCCTAGGTAGGGGTAGCTACCCCTAGAACAACAGTCAAAACGGCGTCTCCAGACCAAGAACCTGCCGGCGGCGCCTCGCCCGCGTCGCCGAGCCAGTCAACTGCTGGCGCCTCTCGCGGCATGGCTAGCATGGCTCGTCCCATCATGCAGTCCATGCCAGACACGCGACATCAGTCTTTCGACGAGATCTACGGTCCGCCAGAGAACTTCTTAGAGATTGAGGTGTGTAACTCACATCGCGATTTTCGCGAACACTACATAGCTCTTTCCCAAGCACAAGGCACCGTCTTTTTTTTTTATTTAAAAAAAATAATCACACACCTATTCGTGCGCACCTTGTCCCACGGCCTCCCGCTTCGCCTAGCTCCTGAACCTTTGCATCACAGGCATGATCATATACCCATGCATGTCCATATCTACAAAATGGCTAACAAAGATACTATCCTTGTAGGTCCGCAATCCGCGCACCCATGGCACCTCGCGGCACATGTATACTGATTATGAAATCGTCTGCCGAACCAACATCCCCGCCTTTAAATTGCGCCAGAGCAGCGTGCGCCGGCGGTACAGCGATTTCGAGTACTTCCGGGACATCCTAGAGCGCGAGAGTGCGCGCGTCACTATCCCGCCCCTACCTGGCAAGGTCTTCACGAATCGCTTCTCTGACGATGTCATCGAAGGCCGGCGGGCTGGCCTTGAAAAGTTCCTCAAGATCGTTGTCGGCCATCCCCTCCTGCAAACGGGAAGCAAAGTGCTTGCCGCGTTTGTACAAGGTGAGTCCCTTCTTGGCTCGCTTTCATCTTTAGCACATAGTATCTGCGTACCCGAAATATCCCTTGATTGTGGTGCCCAACAAGGCTTCTGGGCGCATTCGTTTCAAAACATAGACCAGCATCAATTGTTCCCATGTGATCAGTTATGTGTTTCCTATATCAAGGATACAAATGGTTACTCAAGTTCTAGTCGGCCGTGCTGCGTGCATGTGTCGGGTTGGGGAGTCTTATGTTTACGAGCGTAAGCGACATACTGACACTACTGACAGATCCCAACTGGGACCGCAACGCATGGTGACTGCGGCTATTTGACTCATGGGCTTCCTCGCCAGGCCGTACACCGCGCAAGCTGCGCAAACGGAGCCTACCCGTTCGCTACCTCGAGGACCGGCAATACGTGAACCTTGAAGCATCCGTGTCCGGGTTGAGGGGAATGAACCACAGCAGTACCGAAGTTTGCAATATCAACTGGGAGGCCGGCAACGCTCATGAGCGAACAGCAGACGAAAACTACCTAAGATCACACGTGCGAAGTCGATCGACAACTAACTGAATACTGCGACAATGAAGCAACATGGCTTGTTTCCTTGTTTTCTTATCTCATCAAGTTTTAGGGGTGGAGAGAATCCGACACGGCATTTTGGCTTGGGCAAGAACATGTTTTGAATCCATTCTATTGTAAGCGACTAGGAGAATGAATATGTGTACATGAATACCAACATGGAGAGCATGAATGAGATGGAGTGGGGAGGATATATCCAGCAAATCACACTTCTTTTTCCACATATCTCTATTGTCATTTGTCTGTCCGCTCTAGAAGTATAGCGGTGATGAGCTAGTGGTGGTGGTGGTGGTGGTAGTAGTAGTAGTAGTAGTAGTAGCGTCAGTTTTTATAGCATATGCATAGGTTTGATGACGAGGGTTATAGTAAGTAGTGAGGATGGAGTATAGATATGACCTGTGATATCTAAACGAAACTTAGCAACCTACCCACCTATCTTACGGAAAGATTTCACGGCACGTCGGTGCTCTTTTCAATGAATCAAGTGGGCAGTGAATAAAACTAACCCTTTCCCTGAGATCTGAGTGGTGAGGAGGTGAGTAGGCATTCGAAGCGATACTAAGGGTCGAGTTCTGGGCTCCGGCATATGCATGCCCCTGCTTGCGCACAGTCTATATCCACCTCGCTATCTGTGTTGTTTATTTTGTTTGGCCAAAGACCTCAGACATAGAGAGAGAAAGCGGATGCAGGACAGCTCAGGAGAGCTAATCGACAGGGCAAGGTGCAATATCACCACACCATGCGAAGGTCTACTCTTATGTTTCGTCCTTTGTATTGATACAGTATATATCTAGCGTATGCGACCACACATTGAGGTCCCAGCTTGGCTATATAATATAATTGACTTTGGTCATACAGCGTGGGATGTGCGCAGATAAGGATCTCCTATTCTTCCCCTTTTTATCATGACTTGAATCATTCACTGCTCTGTGAATGAAGGGACAAAGTGGCGATTCCGCGGTATAAAGAGTAGGTACGGAAATATCGCAGGTATGAGAGGGGAGGAATCTGACTCTCTCGTGTTCATATTAGTACATAAACTCATTCCGTTTCCCATCCCCACTTTCTATTTTCCGTTTTTTTCTCTCTCTCCCAAGTCTGGTTTTATCGAGGCCAGTCCTTCTTTTTCATTCCCTCTTTTGTGTGATACAGTTACGTCTTAGCCCCGTTCATGTTATCCATTGGAGATGTCTTTTTGTTTCGCGAAACGCCGTCGTGTCCCGAGCCTCATCTAGGTAATGTGCAAATCCGTACCCTGCCTCTGATCTTAAAGTTGAAAGACCGATCTATGGTGATTTGTCCAAGCGTTATTACAATAAGGGCCCCGTGGTCGACTCAATTAGATCACGAGGTCGAAAAGGGTGATTTGCAACAGTTAGCTTCAACCGCGCAATCCAAGAGTGAGGATGACGGGAGCTGATAATCGTCCAAAGCACATGGACAACTTGCAATTGTCCAGCAATTAGTAATAGAGTAGTAGTTGTGTGGTGGTCTAGGAATGGGCGACACCTTTGGTCCATCCAAGTCTTGTTGACTGGGTAGAGCAAGATAATTGTGGCGCCGGGAACACGGTATGATCAAGTTCAGCTTTTCACACCCAATAATGACAAAATACCCTCGTACATTCCGAACATAATGACGGCTGAGGGAATCGTGCGCATGAGGTGGGGTGTCAGGCCACCATAGAGTCCGATGAAGCCCTCCTCCTTCCATACCAACTTGAAGCATTGTACAAGGCCGCTGTACTTCGGACGTCCATCTGCCATAGGGGCTTGTCTCAGCCGTGTTCTAGCGACCTACAATTCATCATTCTGATTAATATGTTTGCTCATACGAAAATGATCGTACTTGACTGGTCGCATAGCTCACCTCATGCGGATATGTCAGTATAGCTGCTAAGCCTTTGGCGGCGCCCGCGCCCATCGCGTTGCCTGTCCAGCTGACCGTTTCATCCCACCAGGTCTTCTCGCGACCGCTGGTGGCGATACGCTCTTCGCGCAGCCGCAAACGCCTCTTCAATTCCTCGTACATAACCCACTGTAACGTGCTCTCTGTGACACCCAAGTAGCTCGCGCTGAGACCCTTGAAGAAGCCCCTGGGCCCCTCATCCCGCAGGACTTGTTTTATACAGTCCCAACTGTTACGGTAGCGTCGCGCGCCGATGTCGCCCCTGCGTTCTGCATTATTCTTGTCAAGCTGTAGCCGTGTCTTAACTAGCCAGATTGGGTTCGTTGCTGTGCCGGTTGCGATTCCAGCAGTGATTGCACTCGCAAGGTGGACAACAGGGCTTGTCGGTCCCAGGCCGGTCCATTCTGAGTAGGTGCGCTTGCCCATGGGATAGACGTAGAAGTTGATGCTCCTAGCCGGTATTACGCCGATAAGGTTGGGTCCGAGTCCTTTGAATAGCGCACGCCAGCCTTCTATCCGGTATACGTCACGGAGGATGTGGATTGTCTCGGCCAAGTGGTAAGTTGCTGACCGTAGAGGGCCGAGACGGACATTGCCAGCAGCAGCCCGGGCGGCTCGGAGTTGCGCCTGGTAGAAGTCGGATTGCAGTCGAGTCTTGAGGACATCGAGGGGCGCCGTCAAAACGGCGGCCGTCATACCGCCGGTTCTGTTCGGTAGTCCAAGTTAGCATGGTATACACGCGGTGGAAATGTAAGGGATGGGCGAAGCATTGCTCTAGCCCAGATGTCGTGGTCTAGTAGATTCTGCCTAGTACGTACGCTCCAGCAACAAGATAAGGCCATGATTTGGAGAAGGGCGCTATCTGAGTGGTTTGCGTGGGAGCGGGAGTCATTTCACCGAGCTCTCGAGATTGCGGCAAGGGCGACTGTGCTGCTACATAGCCCACGCTCTCGCGCTGGGCTTTAGCGGTGCTGGCCATGGTACGCCTCGCAGCCGCGCCAAGCACATAGAATGGCAAGGAGCCTTAGCGGTGGTTTGGTGTATATGAGTCAAGGCTGTATGCTTCGTTGTGGCCCATCGAAGGTGTGCGTCTGGCGATGGTGGTAGGCGTGGCAAATTGTCCAGTAACGCCGAGGTATAAAGAAGATAAGCAGTAAGTAATCACGTCGAGTCAGGCGCGCGAGACGATAATGATGTATTGAAAGGTGACAGCTATTACGTAGATACTTTATACCGGCCGTTTGCGCCAATGTCGGAAAGCGAGCGATGACTTCGTGTGTAGCATCAACTTTTTCTCAGCCATTGGTGATATCAATGGAGCTGTGACGCTACCAATTCCTTATCGGGATGCACCCTCCCCTCCGGTACCGAGTGGGTTTCGTTCATCTAATCTATTGGTCGAGGTCATAGGTACCTACCGTGTGTGCACCGTCCCGTACTGTATATGGCGTACTATGCATTGATGAGCATCTGTGCTACAATGCCTACTGGGTGTTATTAACGAGGGAGGCGAGGGAAGATGAATTGGTGCATTGTTATACATACACATGTAGTCTATAGTCAAAGGAGACTGGTGGTATTATATCCATCTCCATGCTAGCGACCAAGAAACATGCCGATACATGTAGCTGTCAACTGACAGAGTATTTTCCATGGTAGACATCTCCAAGGTTTTTTTTATCTTTTCCGTAGCTTTCCTGTCGTCCCAATATCATGAGCTACTCTTTGAAGGCTCGATAAAGTCCCACGTGTTTCCATATGCATCTTCAAATACAGCAACGATCCCATATGGCATTCCAGGAAGCTTTGGTGGTCACGCGCGAAGTCATCCGTGGATAGGAAGAACCCAACTCTGCCTCCAGTCTGCTTCCCGATCGCTGATTTCTGCATGTCGGTCGACGCTTTTGCCAACACAAGGGCAGCTCCATCTTTGCCCGGTTTCAGCACAACCCAGCGTTTGCCTTCGCCCTGGGGTTTGTCTTCCACGCAATCAAAGCCTAAAACCCCGCAGTAGTATGCCTTTGCGCGATCATAGTCGTCTACGACTAGTGTGACTTGGAAAAGGGAACGGTTTGCCATCGTGACTTAGGAGGGATAGATTGACTATGGTGATGATGCTGTCGCGATCAGTACTCGTGTATCGACTCGTATACACTCTATGAAGCTTGTTGAGTGGGAGTTTCTAGCGAATCAGTCATGGTAAAAGCTCAATGGCTAACAATGCTGGGGGTGGGGGCCTATACCCTACTTACAGCCAAGGTATACTCTAATTAGGAAGGCCAAAGGTATCTCTTTCGTTAAATCTTATTACACTATGTAAGCATCCAGGCGCATCAATCGCGGCGGAGAATATTCCGAATCTTTTGCGCTTGCTCTACCAGTGCTGCATTCTACCTAGGTACCCGACTGACATGATGGAGAGGGCCCTCAATCAAGTTGTACGTTGGCGACGGGATTACCTCGCCTTGGCGTATGAATGTATATGGTTTCGAGCGCCTGTCTTGATTAAGTACATAATTTTCGTAACGTGTGCACACGCTCTCCGCGTTGTTTCATAAATGAATTATCATCACTATTGCCGATGCTGGTTTTCATGTACTGCGGCATCTGCACGCGCTGATGCTGCAGAAGCAACCTGCCGGATTCTAGAATCCAGCCATGCACCTTGCGTCGTTGTGTAGCTCGCCGTCTCTTCTATAGGGTATCGTTGGCGCGAGCTTGGGTCAATATCCATAGTGTCATCCCTATTGATAGGTATATTGCTGGGCCCTTTGCGCCATATCTCATCTGTCTGCCGATTGATGGCGACTCGCGACCCAGACTGGTTCCCGATGGACTCACTAACCCGGTCCATTGCGGCCACATGATTACCAGTGCTCGGGGGTTGGTGTGGTGAGGCGAAGTTGCTCTTCCAAATCGCCTCCCTTGTCTCCTCTTCATCTTCATCACCTTCTCCTCCAAACTCTACTTTTAATGCGGCCAACTCTTCTTCTGTCAGCTTCTTCCACGTGCACTTAGTATGCTTTTTAGTACAGCCTTGACAGGCGGTAAGGTGCTTGATACATTGTGTTTTCAGCCTCCGACAACGATCGCAGGATGGTCGTATGACGTCTCCACGGGCCATTTTTTCAATTCTCGAAGCAACTAATGTGCGGTTTTCTTCCTCACAGTCGCGGACAGTCGATTCTGAAGTATAGCTGGGTGATGGGCGGCTACTGTTCATGAACGTCTGCTGTTGTACACTGGCCCTTGGTGTGGAGGAAGCGGTGCTCATTGGATTTGGGGTAGGTGGGAGGGATCCCGTGGAAGACATTCGGTGATTGAGAGGCTGCGGTGCTGGTGCCATGAATTGTTGCAGGAGATCCGCATGTAGATCGTAGCCAGGATTGACGCCAGATTGTCGGACGTTGTTCACTGTCTGGAAACCCGACGCCGACCCCGATTGTGATGGATGCCGCGACTGGATGGAAGCCTTCCGGCCGCTGAGATGATAATTAAGCTGACGGGCTCTCCGAGCAACCTCGTCCGCCTTCTTGATTAGTACCTGGAGCCGCTGCTCGATAATCTCCACAGTGGCGAGCTCGGCGGTCTCATCTTCTTCGAGTGGTTGAGGTGGGACAAGTCTAAACCTGTCCAAAGCGCCGGAGACGATGAGCCTCCAGTCATCTTCACCAATTTCTACCTGAACACCTTTCAATGCGAATTGACAGTATCGTAGACCAGTTGCCGTAGATGATAACTGGAATTCCTGAGGGTGCGATTTGGCAAAATCGACGATATCGAGCCAGGTCACCGGGTCTGGGGTAAACTGATTTTGAGGAGGGGTTGTCGTGATGGAGCCTTCAAATGCTCCCTCCATGGCCCTGAGGAGGCGGGAGCCTGTAAGTTTTGCGCCCAGGTTAAAGGCGAGGCTTTCATGTCTGTTCAACACGCCTACCCTTCCAGTTAGTCTGAGTCTTACACATTGTATAAGCGAGAAGAGCTAGTCTCCGCGGAACTCGACTTGCCTTCATATTCATTAATAAGTCCCAATACATCGGAGAATGCATCACTCTCTCCCTGAATAAGCTTGAGTTTCGCCCCTAATGACCTCGATAGATAATTAATTGGAGCTGTATTGCCTTCCATGTTGGTCAGCTCTAACTCTATCTATGTATGCTTCGGCGCACAGGCGCTGGTGCCCATTCTCTAGGGTGGACAGAAAAAACCACAGCAAAAAGCTGTAGCGACATGAATGGGGATCCGACGAGAAGATATAAAAGATCGATAGTAGACAGACAACACAACTACAGGATTTTAACTGTATAATGGCAGAAGCCAGAGGTGCGGGACGGAACTACTAGTCTGCGGGCTGTCTGCTATCCTGAATGGCAAGCAACAGGCAAAGAGGGAGAACGTGACTTACCCGACTGGGGAGGCGGTGGTTGAGGGATACGGTCATGTACCTGGCTGCCGTTATCATCGGCAATGTCGCGTTTCCGTTTATGCTGGTCGGTGTCAAGACTGTGCGCCATACTAGTCCCTGTTCCACAACCAGGAACGCGCAGGAGCTACAACAAGGACACCTGACACGAGTCTACATTCAACAACCCTGACACGCCCGGATTTCCCACCCAACTAGCTGCGGGATGGTGAAGCGAGGACATGAAGGGGCCGTGAAGAGATCGGGGTTCTGTCGTGGAGCAACGGTAAGGGTACCAGGATTCTGGTTCCCGGGGACGGGTGGATGCCAACGCTCGACAATGGACAGACACAGTGGGACAGTACGGGGGAAGGTCTAGGCAGGACAGTAGCTTATAGAGTTGGCGGGCCGGCCGGCAGGTAAGTAGCCTTGGGTATGATACGTGAATGTGGATGTGGATGTGGACGTGGACGTGGATGTACCAATGTCCCAATGTCCCAATATTCCAATGTGCATATGAGCTTATCCTAATACTAGCTGCCTGCAGAAGGGGAGTAGCTACCTAGGTAGCTGTGCACGAGTGAGAGGACTAGACTGCTACCGCGTTGCTATTGGCGACCCGAGATGCTGGGTGACCACGGCAGCGACATGGCAGTCGAAAAGCACCACAGCCTGCAAGATGCCGGAGAGCTGTCCAGGTCTGACTGAGATAGCCCACATACAGGATGGCTACCTGGGTAGCTGGCGCATGTCAGAGACAGGGTGAGTCCTCATGAGAGCACCAATCCAGGCGGGGCAGTCAGACAGGCAAACTACCTAAGTAGGTAGGATGGCGTATACTTCGTAGTGGAAAAGTGGTGAGCTCGGGTACGACTCAGGATTCGAACAACCCGTTTCCTCTTGAATAGGCGGGGAGGTCAAGCTAAGGTAGACCAGGTCAACAGTGTATACAACGCGAGGGCACGGGAAGCGGAGAATTACCTAGCTTTACCTACCTGCCTGCCTACTTACCTACTGCGTAGATCTGCCGAGGACGACAGACGCGAACAAGACAATGCTCTATATCGGGACAAGCAAACAGAAGGTCGCGCTGAAAGCCGCGTGAAGGGACGACCTCGTGTAGGTAGGTATTCAGAGAGAGAGAGATACGCACACACACGCACACACACACACACAGAGAGAGAGAGAGAGAGGAGAGGCACATGTGGTGTAGGTCTTCTAGGTCAGTTGGTAGGCTCGGTAGGTCATGGTCGATCTCGATTGTAAGATGCTGAAAATGGGAATCGGCCTGGGATGACATGCGCGAGAACATAATTGTGGGGTGCTGTTGGAGCTCTGGCAGCTCCCAAGCTCCCAAGCTAGGTATGGCGGTACCTACAGCATACCTACAGCACACTACTTGCTAGCTACATGTTGCCGGCACTTCCACGTAGGTACATGTAGGCACCCACCTACATATTTACTACCTACCTACCTACATTCCCTAGTGCTAAGTGAACCTACAAATAAATGTATGAAGTAAGTAGGTATGTATATATCTTTCTGCGTTGATGGGAGCTGTCCACTACTTGGGTGAGTGGGTGGGGGGCAGGTAAAAGGGATAGCATTACGAGATACCCCCAAGATGTAGTACCTAGGTATGGAGGTATCAAGCTTGGGGCGGCAGATGGACGATTACGTAGTACCTAGGTATTGAACATTGGCAGAGTGCATGGGCGGCAGGATCGGTAGTATAATTCAACTCGAGTCAACATCTCCTGCATTAGACACCGGTACTCGACTGGGAACTTCGATTCATACTACCGTAGGTAGGCAGGTAGTGCGCGAAGATGTCGTTTGATAGATCGTTTGATAGAGGAGGTCGCTACCGTTCCTACATCCACTTCCTCTGCACTTCCCTAGGTGCTACAACGTCTGCATGTGCAGCACACATCATGGTTGTCTACGAAGTGCTTCGTAGGCATACTTCGTACCTACCTATATACTAAGTACGTACTGAACACTGGCTGGGCACTGGCTGGCTACAAGAGTCCTGCATGGGATAGAGAGGCCGTCTATTGTTGCTCGACTCTGCTCGACGTTGCTTGATATCATTACACCACAGCACTTGCATTGTGGTAGGATCGGTCTTCGGTATGCTGTACGACACACAACTTCCACTTTAGGCGCCTTGATCTGCTGCAGCTTCAGCTCATCCACTGGCATGCTGTCCAGCTCCTCGCCGACCAACATGATGAACGGCGCGCCATGGATGCCGTGGAACATCAGAACCAATTTAGAGCGCCGCGGCCACTGCCTTGTGTCGAGCATGGCTGCCCGAGTCGATTCGATCTACATCCATCAGTTGCTCCTGTTCACGGCCTCGGACCTATCATGCCCATTTGTTCTTCTGTCCAGATTCTGTCCAGATTCTGTCCATATACTCTATATTGCGACCTGAGGGCTAGACTGAGCTGACCCGACACAATCGTAGCAACTAGGTAGAGATCGTCGCTCCTGAGCCGAGACGGGTAGCCCAGCTTCTCCAGAGTTGCAGGCAAAAACAAGGTTGTTGAGACTTTTGAAGGGGCCAGTTCCGCGTTGAGTATGCGCTCGAGGCACTGCTCTCTGCTTCAGCCATCCAAGTAGGCAACGATCGACAACACATGCATCGTTCGGAGCTGCATTCAGAGCAGTTGCCAGACCCCCCCCGCCCCCCCCTCCCCCAACAAAACTGCACACAAGCCAACGCCAATTCCTTGGAGGAGGCATTTCTTTCGTTGTTGTCGAGAATGACAAATTTTTCTCACGGAAATCAAAAGAGATGGACAAAGCAGATTCCCAGTCAGCTCCAGCATACAGGATGGTGGTGTAAGACAGCTCTACGTTTTCCGACCTGTAGTCCAACATGCAATCTTCCAAATCTATCACTTGGAAGCGTTGGCTGGCGAGTACCAGCTGTAGGCCCCGGGCAAATATCATGCATGACAGTATGACGAAGTATGAAGTAGGTATGTAAGCTCGAATAGCTCGAATGGGGTTCACTAATCGAGGCGTGGTTTCTCGACAAGAGCCAGCAGCACCTCTGCAGAGCCCCTTGATTAAGAGGCCAATGACGCTGTTGGCGTTGTGTCATATACTGCGTGTTCCCTGTGCGTCTTGTATGGTACCCCGACCAATAACCAACCACAAGGAAGGGGGCTCGGGGGGGTTTATCACTGCTACAGGATCTGTACAGGATTACAGGTATGCTCAACTATCGTGAATGCTTGTCATGCTACCGGTAGTTGTACGAGCGAAGCTTAGGTACATGTAGGTACCTACCGAGGGTACTTACCTAAGGTAGACGATGTAGGTACAGTTTGTGAACAGTGTGTGCACGGTAGACAGCTTCCAAACCCCGCTATAAAGTAGGTACCTACCCCCTCTGAGCCCCTCCTCTAGCGCTGCAGCCTATCACAACATCTAGGGGAGTAGAGGTACCTGCTTTCGCTGGAGCCCTTCAGCCTTCTACCCCTCCACTTCCCTACCTACCTCCTACTTGGGTAGCTAGCTAGCTCGCTCTTCGACATCCTTCAAACTTTTGAAAATCTTCCTAAAGTCCTCGCCCGGTACCGAATCACTTGTCTGGTGCTGAGTAGTTATTACATTGAGTCGACCCTTTACCGCACGACTTGATACGTACAGACGAAGAAGAATCCTCTCACCGATCGCTTGGCCAACATATCGGCAGCCTTCCTAGGCCTATACGCACCCCTGTCCTCGACTCGTTCTATTGGCCGTTCGCCAGTCCGATCCGTCACCTACCGAGACCGATCAGCCCAGACCGCTGTTTGATCGGTAAACATCGCGTTACTGGTCTCACGGGCCAATTGCCAATACTACCATTCTCGGCCCGAGCTCGCGATACCATCGTTGAGACCACGAGGCCTAGGGCTTGCTGCAAACTACACTACCGACAATGTCCGAGCGTGGGCATCACCGCGGCGGCCGAGGGGGTGGTGGTCACTATCGCGGAGGACGCGGTGGAAGGGGAGGCAGAGGGGGGCACGGCGGGGAATCGGCCGGCACTGGCACCCCTCAGGAGCGGGAACGCCCCAAGAAGGAGAATATACTCGATCTCAGCAAGTACATGGACAAGAAGATTACCGTCAAGTTCAACGGAGGACGCGAAGGTATGGTTCAACCACACAACACTGTTGCGCCATCTCTGCCGCCCGGCAACGGCCGCATATGCAGATACAGGGATAGCGGTGCAGGCAGCTAACTAGTAATTGGCGGATAGTCACTGGCACGCTGAAGGGATACGACGCGCTCATGAATCTCGTCTTGGATGATGTACAAGAGGTCATGCGAGGTTGGTCAATCCATTCACCACTTATTGCCGGACAACAATTTGAGGACTGACATATCATGACACTAGACGAAGAAGGCAAGGAAGCCACGAGGTCTCTTGGACTCGTGGTGGCTCGCGGCACCCTATTAGTGGTCATCAGCCCCGTAGATGGCAGCGAAGAAATAGAGAATCCATTCGCACAACAAGGCGACGATTGATTAACGTACCCAGCCCAACAAGATACCAAGAGACCATAGTAAGCACAACGTCATATACCACCCGCTCACCCACTTCACGACAAGAGGACGCCAATCTAGAGGCATATCTAGAAGTGGTAAGATGAAAAAGCAACGGCGACGAGCCTAGGGATTGGATCTAACTCGTATCCTAAAACTGAAGCTCAAAGAATGTAGGATCTAAGGCAGCTCACTATCTGTGAATGAGCTCGGCTCCCACCGCAGAAGCAATTGGAACCCCTAGAATCCGATTCTTTCTCGGGAAAATACCCTCTTATCCCAGCTTTGTCATTCAAGTCGACTCTGATGGTCCGCAGTAGCTCTTTTTCATTCGCTCTTGGCCATTCTCCCTATCCTATCTAGCTCAATATTTGGTACAAATTTTTCCAAAGCTCCCAAGCATGAAATATGCGTGATTATCGCCATGCATATTAAGGCTACTTACTATTGATGCACACTAAACTCGGGCCGTTAAATCCCCACAAGGGAAAAGATGACAACTCACCTCGTAGTTCAACTGTTCCCACGTTCAAAACCTGAATTCACGCATAAAAGAGTCGGTGGCTTGATGATGAAATAGTTGTTCACTCCCAGAACAGGATCGGCGCCCTCGCGGAATTTTGACGGTACTTATTGCCAGCGTACATAGTAGATCAACGGACCTTATCCTAAGTACCTAGATATGCACAACACATCGTGCATCTTCACAATCTACGAACGAGTATGAGAATACATGGACTGGGCGACGAGGAGTCGCAGATTAGTACGATGAAACGCTCATCGACCTGGCCTACATTTCTCAGACGCAACCGTGTTGTGAAGTGCCAGCTAGATAAATGGAATATATCTTGATTCATATTTAATTTTTGGCTTTTGGCTTTTTTGATAATTATCTGTTAAACATAATATCCACCCCGCTACAAGGCAAGGTGTTCGCTTTAGATAGGATCCAATGTTGGATCCAATAGACATGATGGACATATATAGGACCTCTGACTCTTTCCACGCTATACAAGCTTTGTTGCTATGTCCCGGGGTGCAATGCCGGTTTTGTGAAGGCCAACACTATTCTACTTGACAGTTTTTGGACAAGGCTCTTGACTTCGCACAGGATTGCACTGTTCTCTCGAGTACGCAAACAGAGCCGCTGAGATTGTTGGGTGTTGTCGTGATCCTAACCTGCGTACAACATCCAGATTATCCGAATGCCATACAGCTCGGATCAAACAGATGACTGTTGCGTGACCTAGAAGCCCCTACTGTTCTGCTGCTGCTGCTTCGTGTTTCCTTTTTGCAGATCACCAAATGCCGCCTGAACTTGTTTCTTCAATTCCCGGTACGTCACAAGGAATGTAGACTGATGATCGCGGCTTGTGAGATAGATCTTCTCCTCAGTGCCAGCATCAAGCTTATTCAAACAGCTTATAATGTGTCCTAGGTCAAGGACTGGATTGCCGTGACTGTCAACCTGATGGAAAACATAATCTCTAAACAGCTTCAACGTATACCGGTGATCTGTTTCAGACCAATTGGGGTCACCGTCGAATTCGGGACGCTCATTGATTGTGCCCAATTTAGCCAGTAGTCGTACCAGTCGTCCATTCTCAAGCTCACGGCCTAGATGAATTGTTGCCTCATCATAAGCGTTGAACGATGCAACACACACGTCGTCTATATGAGTGGCTAAATCACAGATTAGCTGTTCAGCTGTTTTAAGCTGTGTTTGAGGTGCGCTTAGCAGCCAATCCACCCTTTCTCGTAAATCTGACGAATAGCTTCGACTGAATTGATCGAGAACCGCACGTAGGTCATGCGTGCTCCTCAGCGGGGTATTGGTGCCAATGCTAAGCATAAGTTTTCCGAGATGTAGAAAGTCCTCTTGTTGAAGGTCTTCCGTACGGCGATGCCCTTCAAATTGTATCACATCATAGATGGAGCATGCGCTCAGCCTGATGCGATTCTTATCTGTCAAGATCACTTTGCTGATATCAATACAACGTGCCGCTAGCTTTGCCTTATGTATCACCTTGAGTGCGCTTGACAGCTGTACAAGATAACTCCATAAAACTTTTTCTGGAACTGGCGCTGTACGGCTAAACCTATTAGTAGTAGTTGGGAAGTGATGCTCCGCTAGAGTTTTGGAGAGTGGATGGTAGTTGTGCACAAATATCAGAGAACTATCATTAAAGTCCCTGGTTGTGAAGGCTTCGACTGTTGTGACTATGTTTGGGTGTGTTATTTTTTTCCAGGAATTCACAGCCTTGATGGCATCCTCATTTGTCAACCGGAAGCCTTCAACAGGTCAGTGCGTGTAAACTATGAGGTGACTAAAACGGCTTACCTTCCACCCTCCTCAAACAATAAACATTGCCGTTCTTGCGAGAGTTTGCTTTCCATACCCATGTCGGAAGCCCAAAAATACCGGGTGCATTCTTAAGCTTGGTATCTAGTGGTACAAGGGAATGATATTGCTGGAGTGATGGGGATTGTACGCCCGGTTGACTGGCAAGAACCTGCCTGGCCGCCTCGGACCTTTTCTGCAAATCTTCCCTGAGGGATTCCGGTAGAAACAAATCAAATACCGCTCGTTGATAAGGCTGTAAGGTGTCTCGAATGGGCGCTAGTGGATAGTAAAGATGATATTGTAGCTGGAGGCAAACGAGTTAACCCGTCTGAAACTGTAAAAAAGTACCTTTTTCTCTTTGACTCACGGGCTGAGACGGGGTTGAGAATGTATTCTGAGCCCCATAATAGGACGCGCTAGCTCCGGCTAAAGGATTATGCTCTTCAGCATATGGGTTGTATTGGGAGGATTGGAGCCCTTGGGAGACATTCGTCATGAAAGGATCGAATCCGATGGGAGTCTCTGATGTCCCGTTCACAGCGTCCTGCTTTACGTAAGCCAATCATACCAGCAGTATGTCCTTGATTCAACGTACTACGGAGTTGATATCATAATGATTTTGAGTAAAATCTGTGAATTGGGTTGGCTTAAACAATGTCGTGCCAGTCTCATGTTGAAGAGAGGGTGATGTAGCTATTAAGTGTAAGCCTGGTTTGGGTTGCGGGATTGCTTGCAAGAGAGCCATACTAGTTGTCGTTGAGCCTCCTCGAGGAGTGAAAGGGGCCGCGCTGGTAGAAAACGTGCTCTTCTTGCTGCCAAGCTGTGCAGGAGTGAATGATGGAGAATCGACATTGAGTGATTTCTTAGGAAGACTGCTTGATGAATTAGTTATTTAGGTTTTAAAGAGTAAGTGCCCAGATGACTTTGTAGACCCTCAAAAGGAGTAGAATATAAGCGCTGATTGCCTGAGGATGCCAAGAAATAAATCATCCATGTTCCCGTCACCCAGGGAAAATTGTGCCGCTTGGAGGAGCTTCCGACTGTGGATAGTTGGAAAATGAAATACCATCACTGAGTACTGAGGATGGCGTGGTCTGCGTATTGCTCCTCCGAAGGGAAGGGATGATATAGGCAACTTCAGGAAGGCATTATTCATATTGTTCGTCGGTTGAAAACATAAAAAAGTCCTCAGGTTCCAGACCATATATATGCAGCATGGCTTCATCATATTCAGCAGATGACGGTGCTGGTGATTGATCTATCGGAGGCAGCACCACATTGAGAGGAGGATTCTCTGGGTTTTGTAGATGTTCAAGTATTGGGAATTGCAACTGTGGAGCACAATGTTGGGTAACAAATTCCGCAGCACCGGGATGGCTATTCGTCAAGGAAACAGAAAAGCGTTTCGATGATGATCTTCTTCTCAGAAACTGAAGAAGATAGTAGGTGGTTTTGTCCATTTCCTCTTCGGGGCTGTAATTCTGAGGAAAGGTAATTGGCAGTTTTCTGTGTTGCTAGCGAGAAAGTCGACGGACCGTGTTTAAACCATAATATCCTACATCTCCTAGCTGCATGGCCAGGTCAACTGGATCCACATAAGCAGGGAATCGGTCGAGATCAAGCTCGGCCGGTACCTCGGCGGTGCTCCTGCGGAATGATGGGAGCATAATTGAGCCGTGATCTTCAGAATCTAGAGCAGGACCAGCAATAATTCCGCATTGTGCAAGCCGCTGGCGGGCTTCCTGCTCAGTATATCTTATGTCTCCTAGCATCAGAACACCCTCTGGAGGTTGTTCATTAGATTCGGATTCTGAGCGAGATGCAGCTGGTTCATATGTCTGGTATGGCTGCTGGGCAGGCTGTGGCGGAGAACATGGGATGCTGGGAATTATGTCACTAGTCATAGCTAGGGAAGGACACTGATTCCCATCACCAGGCGTACTACCGCCAGGCTGTTCTAATTGCTGGGGAGGCCGCCCTCCTAGGTCTTCCTGATTTTGCGGTTCTTGCGTTCCTTGCATGTTGCATACAGCGATTCTTCGAGGTGGAAGGATAAAAGAACAGCCAAGTGGGGTCTAGAGTGGGCGAAAAGTTAACGTCTCGTGGCGATGTTCCCCTTCAATTGGTCGATATGGCACATTAACATGCTCAGCGGCTTAATGAATTTACCAATATGCTGAACCAAAATGTGCACGAAGTGTATTTCAAGTATTGAATGATTCCGAGTGACAACGGTGTATGGTTCAGAGGGCATATACAATGGCGAGGTCTCCAAAGATGGCAGAATCAGGATGCCAGGTTGTCGACTGGGCAGTACAGCATTTTATTTAGGAAATCCGAGACCAAGCCCTGAGGTAGGGGCGAGCAGTTGTTGGAAACAGCCAGCCAGCAGTGTCAGAGTTACGGGAGGCGCTATCCAAAGGCATTGACCCGACTTATAGTTCTCTTCCATTGACCGTAGCAGGAACAAGGGAGACGCGTGTTTGGGAGAGGGGGCAGAACAGGCGGATAGAAAGAGGAATGACGACTTACTTATCATTGGGGCTATTGGAGTTTTTATTCTGATCATGATTGAAGGCGCAACCCTGATCTTCGTAGCGACAGTGGCCGTATATCAGTACATTTCGACAAAGCGTATCTTTTGAATCTGCAGGAACCAGCGAGGGCTCAATTAGACCAATGCTAAGAAAGCAGCAATGCCGCCAAAGCAGATGCCGATTAATTAGGACTGCTCACCACGTGTTTTGGGCCTGGGAGATGCCATCTGTCTACCCTGGCTGGTAGTTCCAAACCTAGTACTCGACATGGTTGCGGTAAGAAAAGAGGATGAAACTGTCTAATCGTCTAGATGCCACGAACCTAGGCTGGAAAGCCTATGCACGACCGCCCTATCCGACACAACGGCCGCGGTCTATCTATCCAGCGTGGGTGACTGCAAGCAAGGTAGATTGGGAGGCGAAGAGGCGGAGGCGAAACGGGCGACGACAGGTGCTATAGGAATAGCGTAATTGTCGCATTGGTGTGTGCGGGCAGAAGCAAGATAGTGTTGTGGCCGGCCGGAACCGATGTCCTGGGAGGCAACGCAGGGAGGATAAGGTGAGGTACTAAGCACCTCAAAGCGGTGCCATTTCCGACGTCTTCGTGAAGCAGTCCACCCATAGAAACCAGCCCCAGCGTCAAGCGCAGCGGATGGGGAGAGGTTGTGAGAAGGCAGACGTGAGCGGCGACGGTGGCCAAGTCGGATCAAGGACCGAGGATCGAGAGTAAAAGACGAAATGATGGGACGGCGCTGGGAGTCAATTGTTGATTGGAAAGCAAGGCGCAGACTATACAGATATTGGAGCCATATAGGTGGTATAGGTGGTATGTGTGGTATATATGTGATGTCTGTGATGTCTGTGATGTCTGCGTGATGTATGTGCGTACCTATAATGAATGGATTTGTACAGGCGTGGTAGTGGGAGGTGTCAGTGAAGACGCGTGTATATCGTGTATATCGTGTATATCGAGTGACGGGAGGCGGCAGCAAGACAGGAGAAGCCGAGTCGCTGCGTACACGATACCCAGGTAAGAAGAATGGATGCAGCCGGCGACGAGCACTGCACTCGGAAGCACTGACTGAAAGGCGAGGCGAGGCGAGGCGAGGCGAGACAAGGCGGCGGGCACGAGTTGCGGTGCACCGTGCAGGAGGTGGTGGGAGTGGTGGGAGTGGTGGGATGACGGGCGGAATGCCTCTCGCACAGGCCGCGGATTGGTCGGCCGCCCGGTCGGCGGTCTGGTCCCAGGGCACAGCGCCAAGGTCTACCTACCTGGTAGGTAGGTACATACCTATTATGTAAGTATGTACAACTAGAGTCAATTATCAATCCAACTTCTTCAAGTGGCATCACACTAAGCCTACCTAGGACATACTATGAAAACTTACCGGGGCCGCCTCCAACGAATAACTAGGTACCTACTCTAGTCTAGGTAGGTAGGTACCTGTATCTCGGAAAGTATAAATGTATTGAACTCGCCCCCAACATTTTCTCCATCTCCCGGTCAAAGTCATTCGGATCATGGGTCCGTGACAGGAGATACATATCCCATTACATTACGAAGGAATCAGCATAGAAACGAGTTCCTATACGCCGCTCATTGAGAGACGCCGCTCCATTCTAGCACTCCATTCGCAAAAAAGGGCCAATCGAGATGGCTTCGGCTTCGACGGTGCAGCGTACCTTCGCACCACTACAACGAACAGTCTCAACAGCCACGAGAGCCGCCCTCGCCTCGCGTTCCTATGCCACAATCCCTAGTAGTACTCCCAGCACGCCGTCCTCACAGCCTTCCGCCGCCTCTCGCCGGCCAACATACTTCAAAGACACATCCTTAGCTTCGCTCGACGAATTTCTGCCCACATCCAACCCCGCCGCAGCCTTGTCACCAAGCGATGCCTACACTCTGCGCACCGCCGAGGTTGGTCCTGCGTCAAACCGCCGGACCATCACACGGCTCCCTGAATGGTTGAAGACTCCCATTCCCGCAGGCAATGATAACTACAAGAAGATCAAGAAAGACCTGCGCGGCTTGAACCTGCACACCGTCTGTGAGGAAGCCCGGTGCCCCAATATCTCCGACTGTTGGGGTGGGGATAACAAGAATGCCGCCACCGCTACCATCATGCTCATGGGTGACACATGTACTCGAGGCTGCCGCTTCTGCAGTGTCAAGACCAATCGAAAACCCGCCCCCCTGGACCCTCATGAACCCGAGAACACTGCCGAGGCCCTCGCCCGGTGGGGCCTGGGTTATGTCGTCCTGACTACCGTCGATCGAGATGACTTGGCCGACGGCGGCGCCAGGCACTTTGCCGAGACAATACGCCGCATCAAATCCAAGAAGCCCAGTCTTCTCGTTGAGGCGCTCACCGGTGATTTCATGGGTAACCTGGACATGGTTAAGATCGTTGCCGAGAGCGGTCTCGATGTCTTTGCCCACAATGTTGAGACAGTAGAGGCCTTGACACCGTATGTGCGGGACCGGAGAGCCACCTTCAGACAGAGTCTAAGTGTATTGGAACACGCCAAGAAGGTCAAGGGACCTGACAGCATCATCACCAAGACGAGCTTGATGCTTGGTTTGGGTGAGCAAGAACACGAGATCATGGACGCCCTGAGAGAACTCCGTAAGATCGGCGTCGACGTAGTTACTTTTGGCCAGTATATGCGGCCGACAAAGCGTCATCTCAAAGTAGAGAAGTACGTTACGCCTGTTGAGTTCGAGATGTGGCGGCAGCGCGCCGTCGACATGGGCTTCCTCTACGTGGCAAGTGGGCCCCTCGTTCGGAGTAGCTACAAGGCCGGTGAGGCCTTCATAGAGAACGTGCTGAAGAAGCGCGCTGGTGAGAAAGTTTCCGCGGGGCTAGCTGGAAAGCTAGAAGATGCAATAGCGGGTGATGATATCCTAAAGATTGAATCAGCGTAGGCGTACTTGAGTTACATGGCTTATCGCCCAATCGCTCTAGCCTCGGCCCTGTATATGTCTACATTCAACGAGTTTTGTATATTTTAATGTTTGGGGTAGCTGGACTAAGGGGCATCGGCGTCTCGTGCATAGATCACTTCTAAACCCGCATGGCTGGCGTAATGGAATCCTTTCAACTAGGATGCTAAGGACATATAGATATCAATTCAACCTCACGTTCCTACATCTTTGAATTTCACTCACCTCCTACCCGTCACCGTGCACTAACAGATTATCTCCCCTGTCCTTTGTCCTTGATTGTCCAAATACAGTGGCTTGATTCTGTGCAGCCTTTCTTAAGCTGAATAGTACAGACAGACATACATAGATACATCTTTCGTATTGGGTAACCTAACAGTAACAAGGTGAGACTGTGAGACGCTTGACCGTTCACTTAGCAAAGGGGCCCAAAATGGTGGTTGTATCATTGATATTGTATGATAAAGAGCGACACTCATATACCACAGAGCACCGAATTCTGGACGTTCACCAATCCCCTTGATCAGATGGCTTTAACAGGACACAACGCCTAGCACAGATCATGGGCACAGCCCAGCTGAGGACGAGATTGGCTATCTATGTGACATATGAGCTAACCTGTTACTATTGTAGGTTGAAGCAAGATCCAGTCTAATGAAAGACTAGGAAAGAGAGAGCTAAAGGCAAGAAGTGGACAGTGAAAACAACAAGATCAACGAGTCAAAAAGCAAGAGACTGTTCTACAAGCTCAAAACATCATGGTTTTAGACTTAGCAGTTATTAATGCGAAAGTATCAGAGTCAGATTCCTAAATGGAGCAAGTAATTCCTACGCAGTATATTTATTATATACGATAATAGTACGGTTCAGCACGGCTTGAATGCTTAATCTACTTCTATTCTGTCGTAGTCTAGTTCTTTACTTGGTGGCATGTATTCTCTAATACGTGATTTGATACGCCGTTCTTAACTCCTCTACGCAGGACTGTTTCTTGCATCATTTAGGTATTTTCCCCCCTTGCAACTTATGCTAGCCATCGTCTGCTGTCCCGCCCTTGTTCAGGGTCGAGAAACCCGTTGGCGGTCCTTTTCCAAGCAATCGGCCTCGGTCCATCTTCTTTCACAGCATCAGGCTGATCTTCTATCTTTGGGCTATCCTCATATCTTCCACGTCTTGGCAGCTTCGAGGCCTTCCGCAAAAGCGCCCAGTTTCCCATCGATAGCGAAGCCTTGGGTCTCCAAGCGTCTGCACTCTGCAAAAAGGTCCTTAAATGGAACCCAGAAACACTCGATAAACTCGCCATCCTCTAGCTGTGGCTTGGGGTTCTTGTTTTCCTCCTTTTCGGCTTCGACCTTGATTTGTATCATGAATGTAGTCGAGCTAAGGGGTGGATGAGATTAGCCTGAAGAGTGTAGGGTGAGGCGAACTCAAATGGTTATGTTACCTTGACGACGCAGGAGCTAGTGCATTAATGTCAACGTGTGAGATTGAGAAATCTATGCGTACATTCCACAATATAAAGAGCACTCACAACTGAAGAACATGGGACGCTGGGCGGCCCGCTCGTGCACAACTTCGCCCACATAGCCTGTCTCTTCCCTAAGCTCACGAAGAGCCGCCTCCTCAACCGTTTCACCCTCGTCGACGAGGCCCGCTGGAAACTCAACGACAAGTTTACCCGCGGGCGCTCGGAACTGTTTCTCGAGTAGGAGCTCTGCACCAGTGGGTAGCTCACGGACGGCAAGCATCTGCACCGCGTCTACCAAACTCGTCTTGGGCCGCGTTGGACGCCGCGTCCCCTCCCATGTACGGACTTGTCCATTCTGATCTTCGTATGTAATCCTAACGGGAATAGTCGCAATCAGATCTAGTCAATACGCTAGGAGTCGCGAGTTGTTCTTGATGCCTGGGCCGCCGGCAGGTGTTTCTTAGCCACACACTCACTTAACTAAGTTGATCCACCTCGCATCCTTGTTTTCCTACATTTGACGCAGGTTAGCTCTTATAGCCGGGTCCCAGTTACTGTTCTATTTTTACATACAAGGAGCTCCGTAGAGATGACTTTCGCGATCCGGCCCGACATTTTATATCGTGATAATGATTGTCGAGACGACATAAATGGTGCAGGTCAGTTTCGATGCATGTCAACATATACACCAAGTAGTACTACACCGCCACAAGTGGCTGAGCATCTTAGTAGAAGGTAGGTATTAAGTAGGTACCTAATGTAGGTAACAACAAAAAGAAACATTTGGAAGCAAGTCAGAAACAATATAGCTCAAAATCATCAATATGGCCAATTTCTAATAGGAATAATCGCTTGGTAAGAAAGAGCTGCTATATACATACTTCATAGCCAACAGCAGCGTCTTTGCGCCAACCCAGTGTGGCTATTATTGACTAAGAGTTGAGTATTGTTGTTCTGCTAGGAACGACAATACATCTACGGTTCCAGCAACTAAATGTTATTCCATATCATCCCTGCTGCCCTTGTTACTGCTCTTGTACCCTTTCGCCCGTTAAGGCGAAGGGTAGGTGTTGTTTATGTATCCGAAACGGCTGAGTAGCTTATCGTCGCAGTATCTGGTGGACACATTTTACACAGTAAGGTTTTGCTCCAGAAGTCTACGATCATTTGTGACGGGCTGCGTAGATTCTGATATGTGACCCGATCCCAATCGCAGCTACCCAGCTCATCAGCTTAAGCTTAAGCAAGCTTAAGCAAGCTGGCAATGATTTGCTAGGATTCAGTGTAGAAACTGATTCCGAGAAGTAAAGGGAGAGAGCGTGGCTGGGTTCTCGATGCTCTCTGAATGCCATCCCCACTGGAGCCGAACAGATGGGATTAGGTCGTCGAAAACCGTTATATGGTCTCATTAGCCTCTGCAAATGAGCAAAGGCCATATCAGCATCTGTTTCTCTGTTCCGCAGCAGGCGACCACCCCCTAGTATCCTTCAATCAACACCAAAGCCGAGCTGAAAAGCCAACTTATCGTCAACCAGCCTAAAACCTCCAGCGTCTTCTGAGTTTTTTCCAACGCCTCATTATACCCTTCCATTTTTGGCAACGGTACCTTGTTGGCGGTAACAGGTTTATCATCTTTGCCCCAGAAGTCCAATAGATACGCTCTGGCAGCATAGACACCAACTGCCAGCACAGGTGATGCCAGATACCGCACAAGCATGCCGTACGAAGCCCCTCCGATGGTCAGCAACACAGAAACAGTGAAGGAGGAGAGGATGGCGATGGCGCCTGCAGCCTGCGTCGTGCGCGTCTTATGTAACTGGCGCTGAACCTCGCTGGAGATTTTGGCGAGCTTCTTGGTGGCGTCCTCGTACTCTATTAGTCTGGTGATGGCGACTTGGCATTGCATCGCGCCATATGCGGCGAGGGCCGTCTGAACCACATGAACTGTCTTCAGGAGCATTGCGACGAAGGTTTGACAAGTTAATTCTTGAAAGGGTCAAATAACATGTGTTTCTGACAAATGGTGAATGTGATAATTATGTAGTACTACCTATCTCAATAGACAAAAGTAGGCAAGGTTAATTTGTGACTGCCTACATTGACTTGAGTTTGAGCACGTGGGGAAGCAACTGGCTATCAATAGCATCATGACGTCACCGACACATTGAGTAAAAGAACAACAGATCTCAGCAACCTCAGCTACAGGTACCTACAATATGTAAGTTAAGTCGTGCACCCATGCCTGGCGAATTAAACGGCGAAAATATAAAATGGAGCTTTTGAATGACGATGAAAGGCAAGAAGCAAATATACAGCCCGGCTCAGTTATCTGTTTGGCCTCGCCGACGAATGTGTCTAACAAATCATCCGGCGCTCACAGAGCAATGGAAGGAGGGTCTATGCTCTTCAAGTACAGGTAGAGTAAAGTGACTGTTGAGATATTGAAACGTGGAACTTTGCATTATTTGTTTCCTAAACCTAGTTCTTAGAAATAGAATATACCTGTTAAGTGAAATTGATATTCTACAGAAAATTTATGACGGAAAACATGAATGGAAATACTACCTCAGTAGGCGAGCTACTGGTAATGTTTGAGTTTTGTTAGCTACAGTCTACATATTTTGGAATAATTACGACGGATCTTTCTTATACGGATATAGCTACTTTTTAAATAGTAGACGCCCCTCATCCTTGTGCGATCCAGTGTAGTTAAGTTTCTGATTCCATTTGGTAACCCTCAAACTATTTATGTCACCAATATTATAAATCATAACGTCTGATGACATGCGTCACTTATACAACGAATCATTCCGGACAGGAGCTAACCAAGACCTTTTCCTTCTTATCTAACACAGAGGTGTGATTTCACCCGAGCGCAACTCATTGCCAACTAGGTCAGACACTTCTTCCCACCGCTCTAACGTATCAGCCTCAGCATCGAATGCATAAAGCCATCTATTTCGAATCTTGAGAGACTCGGGGTCTATGTCCACGCCATCGTCGACGTTCTTAAGGGCACTATGCCACCGATCACGAAGATCCTCGCCGTTTCTTTGACTTTGTCTTGTGCGCGCAAACCGAAGTTTCTCGTACGTCCTCGTCTGTACAACTTTGCGCATTACTAACCCGATTCTATCGACAGGACTCTGCTATATATTTGCTCCATGCTTCTTCAGAAGTGTACTTACAGCAAGTGGTACGTTTCCCTTCCCTGCTAGCTTCAAGCATACTGCAAGCACTGCAGCGCTCTCCGCTGCCTGGCTGGCCCCTTGCGCGCTTGTAGGCAGATGCGGACTGTTTACCGATAGAATCAGTTATCACTGGAAAGAGTGAGGGTTCAACTTATGTCTGGGAGCATGCCGAAGAAATAAGGCCCGGGACCTGCCCAAGGTGAAATAAATGACTCCGGGGACTAACTGGCAGCTATCGCCCAGGAGTGCGATTCTATGGCTTCTGGGTGACACCCACGTCGGCAATGGGTCACGATAACAGATCTTCCAGTCTAGACATGATGGCGTCTTGGCCACTTCGCGCTGTTAGAAATCTATACTGTTGAATAAAGGAAACATGTGTTTTCCAACGCAGAGAGTGAATGGATGAATAGGATGCCCTTTACCGGCCGCACGAATTCGAGGGTCTACTGTTGCCGTTACGCGTGCCACATCTTCTAGGTCACCCTCTTGGAACCACTAATGCTCTCGATGTCAGTGATCATGCTTATCACGTCCATAGGTACTTCGGCATCGTGAATGACGCTACCCAGGACGAATTCTGACAGGACTAAACTATCAAAGCCTCATACAAGTCGACGATATAGGGATGGAAAAAAGAAAAAGAAATGTTATGCTTACCGACTCCCTAATCTCCATGTCTGCCTCATGCGACAGCTTTCGAGTGACGATCCAGTTAAATTCATCCCCGTTACGGACTGTGCATATATCTTCAATCAGTAACGTTGCTCACTCGAGATAATACCATGCATCACTAAAGTGACACAGGGGCTCAGGCAAGACTGATGCTAGGTTTTCTTACGAGTATTTTGTACTAGATGTGTGTCTTCCCCGATCCTAATAGTGTGAGCTCCAGGCTTAGCAAGGTAGGTTCGCTTCAACAGCATACATGATGCCTAGTCGAATGCCGTTCACCATTTAAGGGTTTATTCGTACCATATATTGACGCAGTCATGATCAACAAATTCTCTGCATAACGGGTCCTCTTTCAGGTGTGTGCCTGGGAAGTATGCCCGATAGCAAGAGTATCCGGTACTCTTCGGGGCGTCCGCGAACCCAAGAACTTGTTCTCTGGCCCGCGATTTAATACCGTCAGCACCAATAATGATATCGGCCGGGACTCTGGTGCCGTCGCTTAGCACAATAGCCGGTGGACGTCCCGCTTCGTCTTCGTAGTCTGTTACTTCGCAGCCCATACGGATACCGATACCAGCATCTTGCACCGCTGAAAGAAAAGCGGAATGATAGTCACCTCTGTGCCCGATATAGCCGGCCATGTCCATTAGAGGCTGCGACGCTAAGATCTTGCCATCGTGCCATCGCCGGATTTGCATGTCTGTGGCTTGATTGCCGATCCTTGTTAGCCTATTGTATAAGTCACGCCCTCCCCACCGCTCGAGGAGCTTGAGTGCATTCTCGCCGAGGCCGAGCGAGTCACCAAGACGTCGAAACGCTCGTAGCCTCTCATAAATGATCACTGAGTGACCATGGTGCTTCAGCGCAAGAGCACATGCACACCCACCAAGCCCAGCGCCCACTACAATCGCTGAACCATATTGTAAGCATGAAGCGACAAATGGTGGTATTGTTGGCTCATTGCCTACCGCTTATTTGACTTTGCGAAGTATTATCATTCATACTGGTCGGTGAACACTGAACTGACAAGGTGATTGCCGCCGAGCAAGACTGTACTTCTGAACCTCATCGGTTGTCTATAGCTACAAATATACAACCCTGCAGAGGCACTCTGTTATCTGCCGAGGGGTAGTCATCCGTAAACCCCGCGCTGGCTGTGCCGAATGTTGGGGAACTTGGAGAACTTCATGGTGGGTATTATACACATGCTATTAGATCATCCTCATCTCGCTAGTAGCTAGTTGTGCGGTTTGGGCCTTTTTCCAACTACTACGGGATTGGTATATTCATAGACTAGCAGCAAAGGGAAGGCCAAAGGTTACTGGGTTCAATAAAACAAGTGGCTTCACATAACCTCGGTTAGGCACATGTGTGCCCATGTTCGTGCCCCCATCTCAGTTCAGTCCATTTTTTCCCTCACCGCATCTCCCATATCCTTCGCAAGCCAGATAATCCGATGAAAAGCGCTTCATCAGTCCTGATTGTTCTGCTTCCCTGAGCCGGCAATATGTTAACCCAGTGATCGAATAACTCCTTGGTGCGCCCCCTCGCAATACCCATATCTTGCAATGCTGGGTCATTCTCGGCGGCATACTCGAGACCACGGGGCCCACCAAAGACAACAAGAAGGTGATTGAAGTTAGATACGTCTTTCTTCTTCTTCTCAGGAAAGGCCTCGGGTATCGGCAAGCCGCGTTCCGATGTGCCGATGCTCAGATCGTATCCTCCATCGTAGCTGCACTCTTCAAACACGGCGGCGAGCGATTTGCACCGTCGTACACTGTAGCCCCAATAGTAACCTCCTTCAGTTCTAGGAGTAGCTGGGTCTACGGGTTCGCCAATTGACCAGTCGTTCTCATCGATTTGGAGGGTAATACGGGTCTTGGGCGGGACGTCGTGACTGATGGTGACGGGAGTCTTGCGACCAACATCTACGAGGGTACCAGACCCGTTTGCTGGCGTGCCCGAGGTAGTGACACCCTCACAGTAGGGGAGCCAATCCGTATGATGAGGATGAGAAGGGATATCGAGGCTCGCCATGAGGCCGGCGGCTTTGAGATTGGGATGCAAGGGGAGTAGAGTGCGGCGCATGAAAGGCGGCATCTCCAAATATTGTAAGAGATGATCAAGATAACCACACGGATCAACATCGCCGGTGTAGCCTGAAGGATCTATGTTTGTAGGACGTGACTCGATAGGAGAGTCATCAAAGATGACAATCTCGTCTATCCCAAATACGGCCAGCGCGCGGGCAATATGTGATACAACACCCGTCCGTTGATCATCACGACGACACCTATGGTTGGGGTCAATGACATTGCCATTGCCATATGAGATACAGGTGAGAGGTGTGACTTACGTAGATAATACACTTCCCGGTACAGCCACAGTCACGGTCCATTCCCTGCCAGCCGAGGGTTTGAAGAAAGCAGTTGGCTTGGAAGTATCTACATAGTCCCCTTCCCTCGTAATCCGACGTTTCTGAGACGAGTTAGCGGGGCGAAAGCAGGTAGCTGAGCTGTATGAGTGAGGAAGCGCATGACGATGAGCTGGTTAATTTACCTTTTGCCTATCCTGATCATAGTAAGCCATGTCGCCGAGATAGGTATAATGACCAAGAATGAGAATTATAAGCACGCCAAATAATAGCTTTTTAGGTCTTGATATATGAGAATACTGCTGGTCAAATTGGGTGGACGAGGTTCAATCAAAGCAAACTTGGGAAAGTTGTGCCGGCAGAATTGTAACCACTTTGCTCACCACCTACCTACCTAGTCCACCATAGATACATATTAGGTACCTAGCTACATACTACCTAAGTATGCAGGTGCAGGTAGCGTACCGTACCTAAGTAAGAGGTAAGGGTCGTTGGTGGGCATCTAGGCACCCCTGTACTGTACTGTAAGTTCCTAGGCAGGCACTAGGTAGGTAAATGTACTGTACCTACCTACCTACGGTACCTTAGGTAACCTTAGCGAGTACCTAGGCTTGAACGTTAAGGCAAGATGTCATTGTCCTTTCCCCACCAGACTTCCAACATTTACATGCAGCTAACACTCTGCCTCTTGTCCACTCCAGCTCACATTGATTCGATATCGACCTCAATCAAGCTCACCCAATAACCCCCCTCTTCAAACAGAACACCGAGAGTTTTGCGCATACATAGGACATTCAGAACGGGACAAGATGAGCGGAACGGTGAACATTGCCTCGTCGGGCGAGTGGCAGCGCATTCTGTCGTCCTCTACCATTGTCATCACCGACTGTAAGTCGATTCGGAGCAGTCTCCGCCAGCATTGCATGCCCGTGGTCCCGTAACAGACGTGCTTACCCATTCGCGTCCCATCTCATAGTCTATGCCGACTGGTGTGGCCCTTGCAAGATGATTGCGCCCGTCTTCGAGTCCCTGTCCACCAAATTCTCCAAGCCTGGCAAGATTACCTTCTGCAAAGTCAACGTCGACAACCACCAGTCCATCGCTCAGTCCCACGGTGTCACCGCGATGCCCACCTTTCTCATCTTCCAGAATGGCTCCGTTATCGAGACCATCCGGGGCGCCAACCCTCCGGCTCTTACTGCAGCCGTCGAGAAGGCCGTCAAACTGGCTGGCACTGCCGCTCCAGGCGCATCTTTCGCTATGCCCGGTCGCACACTAGGTGGCGGAAGCGCCAGCAGCAATACGCCAGCTCGCCGGAGCGGAAACACCCTCGGCAGCCAGTCGTGGACCAATTTCAGTGCCTTCAACTTTTTAAACGCGCTGCTTACCTTCTTTGGGCTCTACATTGTGTCCTTGCTATCGGTACGCCCCCACGCTGTGTCTCTGGATGAGATTCCGAACGACTATCTCCATTGTGTTGATTTACACTTTGTTAACCGGACTTTAGTTTGATCCCTATAAAGCTGCCGAGCGTTCCGATTTTAACCTCAACAAGCCGAGAGCACCGCCTGAGCCCATCCGGTTAGGTGGTAGCAGGTCAGCCGGGGGAGCAAGCGCAGGTCGCCCGACTGGTGGTGTCCGGACTTTGGCCGACCTCGGTAGCAACTAATAGGACTATGAGGAGCGACAGTGTCACCTTTGATCCCGTGGCTAGCTGGAAGTAAGTTGTTATTGGTACTTGTGTATGGACATTATAAGGCGTACACAGGCAGGCGTTACATAAGTGGGTATATAGCGTGTCTGAATTCTGTGATTATCTCTATGCAAAGTTTTCTGGTATCGTTTAGCATGGGGTAGGCAATTAATTTCTTGTGCTCATGGAACCCATGGAATTCATGGTAGCTCACAAGCTCTTTCGCCTTCCAATAGCTATCAGGGCTCCCGTCTCAGTCAAGCTATTTACTCCTAGGACTAGAAACTCACTTTTTTGAGGCTGTGACTGTAGAAGGAAGTTATTCTTTACTGCTCCAGAATTGACCATATTACATGTCATTGCGATAATGTCTTCTGGAGCAAACGGTTGCTTGGTAACTCGGTTGTCTTCTGTCCATCTTACTTGTAGCAAGCACGAGTGCTAATTCGGAACGCTTCCTACGTGTAGATAAGAGACCAAGCCAAGATATTCGTTATGCCTCACGTAGGCTATTAATATTGCCTACGGGTAACATATCTAAGTAGGTACGGAGTTTGGAAAGGAATCCGAGTATCGGGGCGTACCTAGCTGATAGGTAAGTACACTTACTAGGTTCTAGGCTTAGCGCATATAATTATGCATTGTTTTATAACGCATCTCCCACTTGACCTGGCCACCCAATTGACCTGGCTACATTTTTAACCTTCGTACACGCATTTGAAAATATCTCAACAACTATTCGTACGATTAACTTAAACTAATTTGAATCTGAATCGTTAAACGTTTCTACAACATTTTCGTAAGTTTGCATATTATAGCTAGGTTTGCCGCAAGCCCTATAACGCCGGGTACAAATCTCCTTCCTCCTCGTATAACGATTACCTTAACGTACGATGCAATTTTCTACTTTAAAAATACCCCATACCTTTATTTAATCCTTAATATCTTTAATAATAAAAGATCCTCTATTTTATAATCTAATTCTTTTTATATAGCGATATTTATTAAGCTTATAATTTACTTTATAAAAGCTTTTAACCTTCCCCTTTAATAATATAAAATAATATATAATATTAATTATATTATATATAATTTAGCTTAACCCTTTAATAATAAATATAAAAAAGTTATTTTAATATTATATAATTCTTAATTTAATATATTTAAAAAGGGAATTAACTTTAATTAAATTATTTAAAATTATAATTATATAAGGATTAAATAGTATTAAGAATAAAGGGTTAATTTAAAGTATAATTAAATAATTTAATTAATTAATAATATAATTTAAATTATATAGCATTAAACTTATTCCTTTAAATCCCTTTTATATATTATTTAAAATAATTGCTTTAT